CCCTTCTCCACAGAGGAACTCTAGAGCTCTGTCAGAGTGACCATCAGGTTCTTGGTCACCTCCCTGACCAAGGCCCTTCTCCCCCGATTGCTCAGTTTGGCAGGGCGGCCAGCTCTAGGAAGAGTCTTGTTTCTAAACTTCTTCCATTTAAGAATGATGGAGGCCACTGTGTTCTTGGGGACCTTCAATGCTGCAGAAATGTTTTGGTACCCTTCCCCAGATTTGTGCCTTGACACAATCCTCTCGGAGCTCTACGGACAATTCCTTCGACCTCAAGGCTTGGTTTTTGCTCTGACATGCACTGTCAACTGTGGGACCTTATATAGACAAGTGTGTGCCTTTCCAAATCATGTCCAATCAATTGAATGTACCACAGGTGGACTCCAATCAAGTTGTAGAAACATCTCAAGGATGATCAATGAAAACAGGATGCACCTGAGCTCAATTTTGTCTCACAGCAAAGGGTCTGAATACTTATGTAAATAAGGTATCTGTTTTTAATTTTTAATACATTTGCAAACATTTCTAAAAATCTGTTTTCGCTTTGTCATTATGGGGTGTTGTGTGTAGATTGCTGAGGAATGTTTTGTATTTAATCCATTTTAGAATAAGGTTGTAACGTAACAAAATATGGAAAAAGTCAAGGGGTCTGAATACTTTCCGAAGGCACTGTATCTACCTAAATTACCTTGTACCCCTGCACATCAACCCCGTGTATATAGCCAAATTATCGTTACTCATTGTGTAATTATTATTACTTCTATTATTACGTGTTATAACTTTTCGATTATTTGTTGCATTGCTGGGAAGTAAGTAAGCATTTCACTGTTAGTCTACACCTGCTGTTTACGAAGCATGTGACGAATAACATTTGATTTGATTTTGATTTGAAAAGCCTGGTTCGCATGACTGGCCATGGGCATGAACAGATTATGGCTATTGATCGCTGCCTGGAGATGGATCGCTCAGTGTGTGTGTGTGTGTCTTAGGGGAGGGGAGTAAGGGCAGCGCGCAAAAGCTATTGATTCTGTCCTGCAGGGAGGCTGCGTTTCAGAATGAAGGTCAGCTCTACTTCATCTCACCTATTAAAGGCTCATGCCACCTAAATACACACACACACACACACACACACACACACACACACACACACACACACACACACACACACACACACACACACACACTAGGAATGACAGAACATCAAACCCTAGTGCCTGTTCCTGAGAGAGAATAACACTTAGTGACTGTTGGACAAATAGGAAGTCCACTCAGATACACTTCTACTACAGCCACATCACTTCCACCTGGTTGGGAATAAATGACACATCGGATGTCAGGGAAGTTAATCAAATTCTCTCTTATTAATATATGATTGATATATGGAGTGCTACTTGGATAGTGGGAGCTTTCCCATCTGATTATTCTCCTCCCTCATGTAATGTCCTCACCACCCACAATGCATCTCTACTGACAGTAGACAGCCAGCCAGCCAGCCCGCTGCTCAGTGTTCTGAGTGACCATTAGGACTCACACAGCCAAGGCAGCTGCCTCTTCCAACAGGGCCCTATCAATAATAGATTACATTATGTATGATTTCTGACAGCCTTGTAATATAATGTCTGTAGGGGCAGGACTGTCTTTCACATTCAATAGCGCTGAGGGCTCTGAAATAACATTACTGTGTTGTCACTGAATAGAGCAGAATGCTGTACAGAGCTTGAGGAGAATGACACACATAAATCCACTTGTACAGACATCGTTCAAGTATGTCCGTTGGTCAGTGTTATGTATCACCCAGACAAACACACACACTACTCCGTTTGCCATGGTGCACAGTCCGAAAGGAAACAGCGGATTGTAGCGGAAGGGAGGATTTGCTGTGCGTGTGTGTTCTCAGGTGATGTGGCTGGTGGTCATTTTTCAAAACAAAATCCAATTAGCCGGAGTGATGGTGCAGCAGAGCGACTGGCTGCTGGAGACCTCTCCAGTTGTGTGGCGGAGGGAGCGGGAGAGAGGACACCACAGAGCAGAGCACCACAGCGCCAGGCCAGCCTTTATGTGGATACACAGGGGTCATGTGGCTTCTCTTTGAAGAAATATTAAACTGATTACCTTGAAGAGTGGCCTGGCTACAGACAGCAGATTGAGGAGCGCCGGGGCTTTGTGAGGGGGAAACACTGGATAGGGATTTAAATCTCTGCTACACAAACAGACAGGTCACTGTTCTGACATGTAAAAAAAAAAATTGTACAACAGCAGCCATTTCTGTGTCATAATCAGAGGAAAACATGGGTCATGACTGTGGTTCAAGTCTAGATAAATCATTTAGTTTAGGTATTCCTGCTCTTTGTTGAGGTAATAAATCTCAAATAGCATTCTAAATTGTATCATTTCAAACATTCTTCAGAAAATAGTTAACTTAATTTGCTGGTAGGATAATAATACTGATTAATCTTTCTGATTTACAACATAGTGTATGTTTGTGTGTGCTCCCTGCCTTGATAAAACAGCCTCATCGTCTCCATGACTATTCCTTTGTTTAAACATAATCCTTTTCTCTTCACCAAGTCCTCCAGCCAGCCAGGCAGAAAAATGGCCCACACACACAGAAACCAGTGCTGGCACTGCCAGCATCCATTGGCTGGGAGGATCAATTTGTCAGCTCATCCTCCAGACCTGCAGTATGTGGGGCCTCAGCCTGGCTGGCTGCTTCACACTGCCAACGCTTCAGCCCAGCGCTTATCTCATCTCATAGTTCAGGCCGTCGTGCTGCTCTCCTCCTGCTAAGGAATGCCAGGTACGCCTGGTCTTGCCCAGCCCAGTGCTGGCTCCCCTCCCCTGGGCTCCCAGTGCAAGCAGGCATGCCTGTGGCAGCTCAACCCATCTCGCCCTGGAGTAATTCACTTGGCGTCTGGTAACAGGCATCTGTCACTCTGCTGTCCCACTGATGCCCCCAGGGACCCTGAGAGGGGTTGATATGAAGCTTGCTGAAGGGTGGGTGTGATGGAGGGGGAACACCCGTGTGCATGCACACAAATTCTACAAATATCAAACACACAGTATATAAAGCCACACCTGTAGCCCCCAAACCAGTGAACCTTTTCACCTTAAAAACAACACTGCCATTACTGCCCACTTTTCTTACACACTGCAAACCAATGAGCTTTGCACAACTTGGATCCAACCTCAAAAGCTGGAGCTTGGGTGTTTCCATGGCGATCGGCAGAGAGATACTGTGGTGATGGTGAGGCTAGTCTGTACACCCTGTTCCTGTCCGGCGAGGAGCGGAGCAGCAAGGCTTTATGGGAGATTAGATTTCTCCCCCCGAGGCCCGCTCCAAAAAACACCATCCCTCCCCTCTCTCAGTCCTCCCCTCATTCACATGCAAATTAATCTCCATCACTGATTACGCTCGTCTTAAACCAACTGACATGTACAGCTGGAGTCTGGCCCTTAATGACAGGCAGGCTGTTACAGGGATGGAGGGAAGGAGGGGTTAATGACAGTCATGTCTCTGCTGCTGTCGTCTAAACCCAGTGGATGATACATGACAACAGAGAGGTTACACATAAGATCACCATTACAGACCCAGACAGCCACATGGATCTTCACGTCACGTTATCACCTCAACCCATCGCGCAGCTAATCGCTGTATGCAAATCAGCCAGCGCATCAAGATCAGTGTCAGCGCTCAACCATGCAGATCAGCCAACACGATTCACATGTGAAATCGCTCATTTATAATTGAAATTCTTTCACATATGAGCATTGTGAAAAAGATTGTGAGGAATAACAGAAATACATAATGAACTTTTATATACATTTATACCTTTTTATATATACAGTACCAGTCAAAAGATTGGACACACCTACTCATTCAAGGGTTTTTCTTTATTTTTATTATTTTCTACATTGTAGAATAATAGCGAAGACATCAAATCTATGAAATAACACATATGGAATTATATAGTAACCAAAAAAGTGTTAAACAAATCAAAATATATTTTATATTTGGGATTCTTCAAATAGCCACCCTTTGCCTTGATGACGGCGTTGCACACTCTTGGCATTCTCTCAACCAGCTTCATGAGGTAGTCACCTGGAATGCATTTCAATTAACAGGTGTGCCTTGTTAAAAGTTAATTTGTGGAATTTCTTTCCTTCTTAATGCGTTTGAGCCAATCAGTTGTGTTGTGACAAGGTAGGGGTGGTATACAGAAGATAGCCCTATTTGGTAAAATAGCCAAAGAGAAACAACAGTCCATCATTACTTTAAGTAAGTAACTTTAAGAATTTTGAAAGTTTCTTCAAGTGCAGACGCAAAAACCATCAAGCGCTATGATGAAACTGGCTCTCATGAGGACCGCCACAGGAAAGGAAGACCCAGAGTTACAGTTGAAGTCGGAAGTTTACATACACTTAGGTTGGAGTCATTAAAACTCGTTTTTCAACCACTCCACAAATGTCTTGTTGACAAACCATAGTTTTGGCAAGTCGGTTAGGACATCTACTTTGTGCATGACACAAGTCATTTTTCCAACAATTGTTCACAGACAGATTATTTCACTTATAATTCACTGTATCACAATTCCAGGATGATTGGACCACAGAGTGAAGGAAAAGCAGCCAACAAGTGCTCAGCATATGTGGGAACTCCTTCAAGACTGTTGGAAAAGCATTCCTCATGAAGCTGGTTGAGAGAATGCCAAGTGTGCAAAGCTGTCATTAAGGCAAAGGGTGGCTATTTGAAGAACCTAAAATCTAAAATATATTTTGATTTGTTTAACACTTTTTTGGTTACTACATGATTCCATATGTGTTATTTCATAGTTTTGATGTATTCACTATTATTCTACAATGCAGAAAATAGTAAAACTAAAGAAAAACCCTTGAATGAGCAGGTGTGCCCAAACTTTTGACTGGTACTCTATATATATATATTTTTATATATAAAAAGATACCCTTCCTTGGTAACATTTGCACGGCCTACCTACCTGCTAAAGCTCTGTGATCAGACAGGACTGTAGGAAGGGTAGAGGTAACAGAGTAAAGAGTGCACAGAAAGGATACAAGCTCTGGTAGAGCGTCAGGCGGGACTTGACAGCTCTGCTGGCGTTGATGCAGGTGGCACGCACCAGGCTGGGCAGCAGCGTTCCAGTGACGATGGCGCCGCTGAACAAAGGCCCAAAGAAAGGGACCTACAAGGGGAAGGAGGGAGAGAGAGGAATGGAGGGAGAGAGAAAGAAATACGAAGAAAGAGGAATAATATATTATTCAGATAACCAGCATTTTTTAAATAGCAATTGAAGTCATGCAATCATATGAAATTAGTGTGCTTTGAAATGCATGCGACATCTCAAATGGGCACAGGGTTCGAGTTAGGTTTGAGTGATTTAGGATTGAGTTTTGTTATTTAGCATGACAATCACACACAACTAATGCAAATCAATGTAGAGTAAGAGGTCCAAATTACTGTTGATACCAGAGAAAATACTTTTATTGAACTATTGAACAAATACAATGGTCGTTCTCTGTGTTTGAGAGCAGCACGCACATGTGTGTGTAGTTGGTGTGTGTGTGACACACGCGTCTGTTCATGGGTTTTGGGGAGGTCTTAAATCTGCTGAGTTGAATAATCGTTGACCTGGAATGTGACGTGAATGTCAGAGCCCCTTCCATAAGTCCTGCTCTCTACTCTGCATGGAATAGCTCATTATACAGAAAGTCCCTCCACTTCAATGATTGGAACACACTTCAAACGGACATCTAGCCCCTTCAATCGCTACTCAGGACAATGAAGCTCTAGAACACCATAGAATAAGAATGAGAGGGGGGTCTGAGTACAGAGGCCTTAGGATTATATGGTGGAGGTTTGGGCTGAAGACTGGGTGGTGTCTTTCTGTCTGTGTGGCTATTGGGAGGAGTCCTAGGTAGATGGCCAGACAGGGCAGTGGGCATCATCTCCAGGTTGGCAGAGTCCTGCTGGCAGGTCAGTGGAATGAGAAAGCATTCGCTTCGACACACTAAATCCCATTGTTGGGCCGACAAGTCTCTTTCCCCCGCTTTAGAAGAGACTGCAGCTATTTGTGTGGGGTTTTCTAATGTATTTAATAATAATAATATGCCATTTAGCAGACGCTTTTATCCAAAGCGACTTACAGTCGTGCGTGCATACATTTTTTTTTAGATGTGTGAGGAAAAGTCACAGTGGTAGACATCTTTTCTTGTTTCAGGAATTTTTGTCTGGTTTAGAACCCAGATGTAAAGCCAAATTGCCCAGAATCTCAACCGTTGAAGTGCTCAAAGCAAATCTAAATGTATAAAACAGCTATAGATCTGTGTGCTCTGTGCCGTGGTTTAGAACAGAGCAGCCGCCAAGATGAAAGCTAGCTGAGAGACACTGTGACTGCCTCTGAGACATACTAGAGAACGACCCCTATGGAGGGCAAGCGCACTTGCTTCGTGTCAAACTGTTGCAAGCCGGCACCACTTACTCATTCATTGGTAGCTGTCCTCTAGGAACCTCTGGCTGGACAGCATCTTGTTAGCTACCCACTCATGCTGCATATAATTTAGCTTAAGCACACTTGAATAATGACACAAGGCATGTAGACATATTGAAAGTATTCATTAATTTACTGTTCGGCAAAACAATGTCCATATACAGGCGACAGCAAAACAAGATACCGGTTTTGTCATCAAAATGTTCAAATTTAACGATATTGAATATCGGCATAAAATATTGTCCATCGGCCTCCTTGACCCCCAAAAAGCGGTATTGGCCTTAATAAATCCATATCTGTCGTTCTCTAGCACATACCCACAGTGAGGGTGATGCACTGTAGTGAAAGAGGAGGGCATTACCGTCCATCTCAGAGTCACACAGCTGGACAGGCAGACAGACAGTTAATCCACTAAACCAACAAGCCAGTCTGAGGGCCATGGGGAAAGACAGTTAAGAGGGGTTGTCATAAAAGTTAAGATCAGACAGTTGAGAAAGTTGGATAGATTGGAGCAGTGCTGGAATATGTATTTGATCAGTTTTAGTAGAGAAATTGTGAAAACAACTCCCATTATATTTGTTTAATGTAAAAAAAGACAGTAAGTAAAAGTCTATGACAGACATGGATTTAGTGGAAAATAATCAACCAAGTGTAGAAGCAAACTCTGAAAACTCATTGTGACCAACTACCATATTGGTTTTGCATTGAGTATTCAGAGCAGCCAACCAGCTGATCTGTAGTACCTGTTGTTTCTTCATGATCTGGATGAAGAACATGTGGTTCTTCATGGGGTACACGATGATCAGCACGTCTCCAAAGTCAGTGGGGATGATGCCACGCCGATAGTCCCTGCTGTGCTCCGACCACACTATGTGAACTTCGTCGTTTCCCAGGTGACGCAGCTTCACCAGAACAAATCACAGGGTTTAGACATGGTTATCTACGGTGATCACGTTTAGAAAAAACATATTGTTATTACTATTTTAACAAATTAATATAGGTAGGCTATTACCACAGCTCTGGGTGTTGTGACAATGTACAGCACCTTGTAATTTGAACTTTCATTGTAAATTCAAATAACAAAAAAAACATTAAATTGAGCATTATAAAACCAATCATTGAAATTAACTTTACTCCAAATTGCATCCAATTTCCATGTTCTATTCGTAAATACAAATGAAGTCAGGACAGAAATTACAGGAAATTGGCAGATTGTTACTTTAACTCTGTTTTTGAACCAAGGCAGAGGAGTGAGAAAGGAGAAAGAACACTCTTGCCCCAGCAGACATATCAGTGTGGATGTCGGATCACCACCTCAAGCTGAACCTCGGCAAGACGGAGCTGTTCTTCCTCCCGGGGAAGGACTGCCCGCTCCATGATCTCGCCATCACGGTTGACAACTCCATTGTGTCCTCCTCCCAGAGTGCAAAGAACCTTGGCGTGACCCTGGACAACACCCTGTCGTTCTCCGCTAACATCAAAGCGGTGACCCGAACCTGCAGGTTCATGCTCTACGACATTCACAGAGTACGACCCTACCTTACACAGAAAGCGGCACAGGTTCTAATCCAGGCACTTGTCATCTCCCGTCTGGATTACTGCAACTCGCTGTTGGCTGGGCTCCCTGCCTGTGCCATTAAACACCTACAAATCATCCAGAATGCCGCAGCCCGTCTGGTGTTCAACCTTCCCAAGTTCTCTCATGTCACCCCGCTCCTCTGCACACTCCACTGGTTTCCAGTTGAAGCTCGCATCTACTACAAAACCATGGTGCTTGCCTACGGAGCTGTGAGGGGAACGGCACCTCCTTAACTTCAGGCTCTGATCAGACCCTACACCCAAACGAGGGCACTACGTTCATCCACCTGTGGCCTGCTAGCCCCCCTACCTCTACGGAAGCACAGTTCCCGCTCAGCCCAGTCAAAGCTATTCGCTGCTCTGGCACCCCAATGGTGGAACAAGCCCCCCCACGACGCCAGGACAGCAGAGTCACTGACCACCTTCCGGAGACACTTGAAACCCTACCTCTTTAAGGAATACCTGGAATAGTATAACAGTAACCCTTCTACCCCCCCATAAAAAAAAGAAAAAAGGGTGGTTGTCCCACTGGCTATCCTAAGTTGAATGCACCAATTTGTAAGTCGCTCTGGATAAGAGCGTCTGCTAAATGACTTAAATGTAAAAATTTAAAATGTATTGTGGCTGACAAAACTCACTGGTCTTTACCCATCATTCATGGGGCAGAGTTTTTCCCTGACCACATGACCTGACCAGGATAGACTGGGCCTAGTTAGGGCCCAGAGTATTTCCTGGTCAGGTGAAGAGGTTAGGAATAACTCCTGTCCCTGATCATGTGGCATCATGACTGCTAAGACTATGCCTCCTCACTGACTGACTCACTGAGAGAGGATGAAAACATGTGCTAATGTACTTGGGTCTAATGAGCCATTAAGAAAACATGCCCTCGCCACCCAAAAAATGCAATTAGCACATTCTATTATAACCCCTTAATTATGGTAATGATTTAATGTTAAACAAATCCACAACCCGCTGATTGAACGTTGTGCTCACTGGTTCATCCCATCTGTACAAGTGCAGGTCAGACCAGACAGACAGGGACAAATTAACCAAGAATGTTGAATATGCATGTCCAGGTTGCCCACAAAAATCCTAGGGATGTTAATGAACATTAGAAATATTACATAGAATGAGTTGAAAAAAGAGGCAGGACTGTCTGGGTAAATGCTAATGTATATTTGTGTTCTCCTGCAGCAAGCTCTCCAAGACCAGGGAATGTGATTAATAATAACAACACAAATATTTGGTGGGTGCATATATTTGTCCTATTTCATACATGTACAAGTATGTACTATACGCAGGTGTGATTTGGAAATGTGTTTTTTTGCATATACCAATTCTCCCTGAGACACCCTTGGAGAGTGGGGACATGGCGAAATTAGGAGTCAGGACAATATGGACCATCACGGTAAAGGAGGATATTGGTTTGTGGGAAGGTCGATTTCAATGATATATGAATAGATGAGGATGTCAGAAAAGCAGGAATTTCTGATTAAAATCAGGGGAAGAATCACATCCCTGTCCCTACTACACAGTACTGTAGCTATATGTGGCACTAGAAGCGCTCCTGTATGTGGCCTCAGTCAAAGGCCCTTGTCCAATTAGTCAGATTAATTCGAATTTTGGTTTTTGCGCAATATTATACATGCAATAATGAAATTATAATTATTATTATGATGATGAGCGTTTATGTACGCTTGTTCTCACGTTAACTTTTTGGTCTGGTCTCCTACACTCCGTGCTGTGTGCGCCTTCCCATTTACACTAGAGATCTGTATATACAGTGAGGGAAAAAAGGATTTGATCCCCTGCTGATTTTGTACGTTTGCCCACTGACAAAGACATGATCAGTCTATAATTGAGCATCTTGTCACTGTAATGACAAGATGCTCATATCTCCACCCCAACAATGGGAGTCGTTGCCCCAAAGGCGGGAAGGCAGGCGACAACTTTAGGTCCAAAATAAGCCCATAGAAACGCATTGGGCTTATTTTGGACAGATTTGGGCGAGAGTGACTCCTCTCGCTTCAGCTCAGCCTCTCTGTTTACACACACCTACCAAGCCCCTCCCCCTGCCACTGTCCACAACAAAGATGAGAGATCACTTCTTCCTCTCTGACAAGCGGTTTCAACTCGCTATTTATACTGAACAAAAATATAAACGCAACATGCAACAATTTCAAAGATATAAGGAAATCAGTCAATTGAAATAAATTCATTAGGACCTAATTTATGGATTTCACATGACTGGGCAGGGGTGCAGCCATGGATGGGCCTTGGAGGGCATAGGCCCACCCACTAGGGAGCCAGGCCCAGCCAATCAGGGCTTTATTACAGACAGAAATACTCAATCAGCCCCCCCCGCAAGTGAAGAAGCTGGATGTGGAGAGTCCTGGGCTGGCATGGTTACAGGTGGTCTGTGGTTGTTCAGTGTACATTTGAGGTTTGGTCCAACAGAATCGGTCATATGGACACCGAAACATTATTTGAATAGAGGAGAGAGAAGTTAACCTTTCTAATGATACCCTTTTTATGTCTCAACTCTTCAAATTGCACATTGATTCTGGAAAATTAATGCTCAGTTTGTCGTACGCGGCATAGCGGTACCACGTACCGATAGCAGCATTTTAGCCAAAGACTGTTATAGTAGCTGTCTAGTCTGTGTTTTATGAATGTGCAATAAGCATAAAACACAATTCTATAAGGAATTGGCAACTCATTCTCATTCTGATAAATAAGGTAGGCTACCTGATTTCAACATTTGAACAAAGTGGACAGGCTAGCATGCTGTTCAAACAGTTGGAGACAGACAGAAGGGTGTGTTCATAACAATTCAACTGTTCAACCTAGTCAGCTAGCAAATAGATCCAAGTTAGCTAAACTTGAAAAAAAAAGATTAGCTGGGTACTCATTAGCACGTGGCCTTGTGCTTGAGAGATTGTTTATGAGATCTGTGTTAATTTTCTATGCCTGCTACAATAAGTTAGTCATTATCAGTGAATGTGCATTATGCATGGCTCTGATATTTTTTTTTTTTACAAAAAGGGCTTTTTCATAGACAGACTTAAAAGACAGATCAGTGATTATTGCAAAAAAGCATGTTACACTATTTTGATAAAATAATTAAATTATAAGTGGGTCTTATGGTTGTGGAAGGTTTATATTTAGCCTAGGTATAATTTCACAAACCCTGAATTCATTAGATTAATGCTTATTTAGAGAAAACATTTAAAAAAAAATGAAATATATATTATGAATCGCCTATAAATTTGAAATAAATCTAGATATGATTTCTATGCCATATCGCCCAGCCCTACCTCAGTGTCCTCCCACCAGGCCCATGGGTCTCATCCCACTAACACACAGCAGAGCAGGCCTCTCAGCAGTACAGTCCCTTATAAAAACAGCAGAGCAGGCCTCTCAGCAGTACAGTCCCTTATAAAAACAGCAGAGCAGGCCTCTCAGCAGTACAGTCCCTTATAAAAACAGCAGAGCAGGCCTCTCAGCAGTACAGTCCCTTACAAAAACAGCAGAGCAGGCCTCTCAGCAGTACAGTCGCTTATAAAAACAGCAGAGCAGGCCTCTCAGCAGTACAGTCCATTATAAAAACAGCAGAGCAGGCCTCTCAGCAGTACAGTCGCTTATAAAAACAGCAGAGCAGGCCTCTCAGCAGTACAGTCGCTTAGAAAAACAGCAGAGCAGGCCTCTCAGCAGTACAGTCCCTTATAAAAACAGCAAAACAGGCCTCTCAGCAGTACAGTCCCTTATAAAAACAGCAGAGAAGCAGCACAGTTAAGCCGATAAAGCCTCTTTTTCATCCCAATTTCTCAACCCCCTCCCTCCCGCCCCCGTAAGCCTCCACACCCGCCGCCGAGCTGCCAATTTCTGTATCGCCTGTGGCTAGCGCGGGGTTCTGGGAGGAGAGGAGTGCAATTACAAGGGCTCCCAGTCAAATGAATCGAAGCGGGCCAACGGCACACACCAGCGCCTCACACCAGCTAGCCAAAATCGAATCTTGCGCAGGCTAACTAATTTCTGCAGCCACTGAGCACAGGTTCAGTATGGGGTCGGTGCAGGACTGTTTTTTGGGGGCGAGGGGGGGAGGGATGTGTTGATGGTGGTGTGGGGGTGGTATATGAGGAGGACCTGATTAATTTCCTATCTTCATGGGACACCGTATGAGAAGATTGGCTGCTCGGGCAGGGGCCTCGCGGCTCATTTCTCCATGCTAACTGCTGCTGGTGTGCTACAGCCAGGGAAACAGCTGAAGCGCCCATCGATCGCTCCCGTCGTCACGGCCGGAATGGGATAAAAAGGTCCTGCCGGCATCCGCCTGGCCCCTGCCCTGCCAGGGTCAGCTAATGGCTGAATCTGGGCCCCAGTCACAGCACCCAGGGAGGGGGGCAGGAGGGGGGAACAGGTCCAGGAATCACAGTCATTACCGTAGCCACACATGCCCCTTCTCACACGCCTGCTCCTCTCTCTACTCCTCAGGCCTGCCCAGGGTTTACTAATCAATGCCAGAACCCAGGAGTCACACCACCTGATCTCAGCCTAGCACAGAGTGAAGAGCCAAGACCGCACACATACAGTGCCTTCGGAAAGTATTCAGACCCCTTGACTTTTTCCACATTTTGTTACGTTACAGCCTTATTCTAAAATTGATTACATTGTTTTTTCCCCCTCATTAATCTACACACAATAACCCATTATGACAAAGCAAAAACTGTTTTTTAGAAAATGTTGATAATGTATTACAAATAAAAAACTGAAATATCACATTTACATACACTACCGTTCAAAAGTTTGGGGTCACTTAGAAATGTCCTTGTTTTCCATGAAAACATACATGAAATGAGTTTGAATAAGAAACATAGCAAAATGCATAGGAAGTGTAGTCATTGACAAGGTTAGAAATAATGATTTTTAATAGAAATAATAATTGTGTCCTTCAAACTTTGCTTTCGTGAAAGAATCCTCTGCATTCTAGTTGTCAATTTGTTGAGGTAATCTGAAGAGATTTCACCCCATGCTTCCTGAAGCACCTCCCACAAGTTGGATTGGCTTGATGGGCACATCTTACGTACAATACGGTCAAGCTGCTTCCACAACAGCTCAATAGGGTTGAGATCCGGTGACTGTGCTGGCCACTCCATTATAGACAGAATACCAGATGACTGCTTCTTCCCTAAATAGTTATTGCATAGTTTGGAGCTGTGCTTTGGGTCATTGTCCTGTTGTAGGAGGAAATTGGCTCCAATCAAGCGCCGTCCACAGGGTATGGCATGGTGTTGCAAAATGGAGTGATAGCCTTCCTTCTTCAAGATCCCTTTTACCCTGTACAAATCTCCCACTTTACCACCACCAAAGCACCCCCAGACCATCACATTGCCTCCACCATGCTTGACAGATGGCATCAAGCACTCCTCCAGCATCTTTTCATTTGGTCTGCGTCTCACAAATGTTCTTCTTTGTGATCCGAACACCTCAAACTTCGATTTGTCTGTCCATAACACTTTTTTCCAATCTTTCTCTGTCCAGTGTCGGTGTTCTTTTGCCCATTTTAATATTTTATTTTTATTGGCCAGTCTGAGATATGGCTTTTTCTTTGCAACTCTGCCTAGGTCAGCATCCCGGAGTCGCCTCTTCCCTGTTGACGTTGAGACTGGTGTTTTGCGGGTACTATTTAATGAAGCTGCCAGTTGAGGACCTGTGAGGCGTCTGATTCTCAAACTAGACACTAATGTATTTGTCCTCTTGCTCAGTTGTGGACCGGGGCCTCCCACTCCTCTTTCTATTCTGGTTAGAGCCAGTTTGCGCTTTTCTGTGAAGGGCGTAGTACACAGTGTTGTACGAGATCTTCAGTTTCTTGGCAATTTCTCGCCTGGAATAGCCTTCATTTCTCAGAACAAGAATAGACTGATGAGTTTCAAAAGAAAGTGATTTGTTTCTGGCCATTTTGAGCCTGTAATCGAACCCACAATTGCTGATGCTCCAGATACTCAACTAGTCTCAAGAAGGCCAGTTTTATTGCTTCTTTAAATCAGCACAACAGTTTTCAGCTGCGCTAACATAATTGCAAAAGGGTTTTCTAATGATCAATTAGCCTTTTAAAATGATAAACTTGGATTAGCAAACACAACGTGCCATTGGAACACAGGACTGATGATTGCTGATAATGGGTCTCTGTACGTCTATGTAGATATTCCATTTAACAAATCAGCCGTTTCTAGCTACAATAGCCATTTACATTTAAGTCATTTAGCAGACGCTCTTATCCAGAGCAACTTAACAATGTCTACACTGTATTTCTGATCAATTTGATGTTATTTAAATGGCCAAAAAAATTGCTTTTCTTTCGAAAACAAGGACATTTCTAAGTGACCCTAATCTTTTGAACGGTAGTGTAAGTATTCAGACCCTTTACTCAGTACTTTGCTAAAGCACCTTTGGCAGTGATTACAGCCTCGAGTCTTCTTGGGTATGACACTTCAAGCTTGGCACACCTGTATTTGGGGAGTTTCTCCCATTCTTCTCTACAGATCCTCTCAAGCTCTGTCAGGTTGTATGGGGAGCGTTGCTGCACAGCTATTTTCAGGTCTCTCCAGAGATGTTAGATCAGGTTCAATCCGGGCACTGGCTGGGCCACGGACATCCAGAGACTTGTCCCAAAGCCATTCCTACGTTAATTTGGCTGTGTGCTTAAGGTGAACCTTCACACCAGTCTGAGATCCTGAGCGCTCTGGAGCAGGTTTTCATCAAGGTTCTCTCTGTACTTTGCTCTGTTCATCTTTGCCTCGATCCTGACTAGCCTCCCAGTCCCTATCGCTGAAAAACGCCACCACCATGCTTCACCGTAGGGATGGTGCCAGGTTTCCTCCAGACGTGACACTTGGCATTCAGGCCAAAGAGTTCAATCTTGGTTTCATCAGACCAGAGAATCTTGTTTCTCATGGTCTGAGAGTCTTTACGTGCCTTTTGGCATACTCCAAGAGGGCTGTCATGTATTTTACTGAGGAGTGTCTTCCGTCTGGCCACTCTACCATAAAGGCCTGATTGGTGGAGTGCTGCAGAGATGGTTGTCCTTCTGGAAGGTTCTCCCATCTCCACAGAGGAACTCTAGAGCTCTGTCAGAGTGACCATTGGATTCTTGGTCACCTCCCTGACCAAGGTCCTTCTCCCCCGATTGCTCAGTTTGGCCAGGCGGCCAGCTCTAGGAAGAGTCTTGGTGGTTCCAAACTTCTTCCATTTAAGAATGATGGAGGCCACTGTGTTCTTGGGGACCTTCAATGCTGCAGACATTTTTTGGTACCCTTCCCCAGATGTGTGCCTCGACATAATCCTGTCGTCTCGGAGCTCTACGGACAATTCCTTCAACCTCATGGCTTGGTTTTTGCTCTGACATGCACTTTCAACTGTGGGACCTTATATAGACAGGTGTGTGCCTTTCCAAATCATGTCCAATCAATTGGATTTACCACAGATGGACTTCAATCAAGTTGTAGAAACATCAAGGATGATCAATGGAAACAGGATGCTTCTGAGCTCAATTTTGAGTCTCTTAGCAAAGGGTCTGAATCCTTATTTTATTTTATTTTTTCATACATTTGTATGATATCAAAATTATAGTTTTAATCATGTTTTATAGGCTATTTGTTTGTTTACATTTACCTTGTTTACAAGTAAAAGAAGCTTATATTTTCGGTTCTGATGGGGTACGACAGTTGATTAAGCTCATGTGGCATTTATAAGTTATATTATTCAAGAATCAATGGGTACATTTAATTAATTTAGAAGTCCAAAAATGGATGAAGCAACTGCAGATTGATCCTTTAAAAATGAATAGTTTCACCATTTTAAAATGAAAGTTCAGTTCACGTAAGTGTTGACCATTAATGTGGGACAGGTTTATTTATTTTTTTACCTTAAAATGAATCACTAATAAAATAAAATATAATAATCTTCAGAAATGACTCTGTCAAAGCAACAAAATAACTATGGCTTTACAATGATGGTGAAAACTTGGAGAAATGTTGGGGTTAAGTGGGTTAAAATCCTCCCTAGAGTCACAGAGGATGCACAGAGGGACATGTCAATGCTGAATTTGAGCAAGTCTTTATTCATTTAAAAAAATCATATTTATTTAATTTTCCATGTGGTCCAGTGTTACGTTCCCCAGTAAGAAACCAGAAATTGTCGCTCAAACAGAAGGGGGAACTAACAGAGTCACTGACAACCAAAACAAAACAGGTGGGGTTCTATGAGGGGTTCTGAAAGACACTCATGGGGGTGTCCATTGAAAGTTGACTAGCAACAACAACTGGGCCCTAAAAGACACCCAACATGAGCGCCCACTAAATTTGCCCAAGAAGAGGCAAACAAAAATAAAACCCACACCAAACTTAAAGACAGGAAGCAAAGAGGGAGAGCCAACTAAAGGTGTTGACCCTCCACATCTCTCAAGACAACTGGAGTACTGGGCCAGCCGCACAGGTGAAACATCTTATGACTAACGAGGTGGCACAGGTATAACACATACTGACACCAATCGGTGACGCGCTAACGTCCAACCTCTAAATATAAATGGAAAAACCAAAGCCTGTAAACATCCATATATTATTATAATTTAATGTAACAGGCTTTTAAAATTCTATACATGTGCACAATTTCAATTTAAAATATCAAAAGGACGCAAAGCAAAAGGCACTTATTTCATGGAATGACCTGTATGCATTTCTGTCTGTCTCATATAAAAAGACAAACATTAAGTTGTTTGAAGGAACTTGGACCTTGCTACATTATTAGTGTAGTGGCAGGTATCAACACAGTGTAGGCTAAGGAGCCTTTTCAGTCAATGGCAAACCAACAAACAAGTTTTGGTTGTTGACCGTCTTCCCTTATGCATGCTTTTCCGACTTTCACTTCTTTGATCTGGAGGGAGTAATATTAGCAAGTACCTTTTTGGTGAGGCAGTCGTCAGAGTTGGACAGCATGCGTGTTGACACATGGAAGATGACTTCCACTGTGGAGGTAGCATAGTAGGGTGCAGTGTGTCCTGTGCTGCCGTTCCTCTGAAGCCCTCCCATGAAGCCACAGTGTGTGGCTAGATCCACCTGAGGGACACAACATGGTTAGGAGAGTGTGATGTCATTGTGCGTGTGTCAGGAAGCGAGACGAGATACTGCAGGGCAGGGTTTCCGCTAGCCGGTAATAGCCGGCTTTTGGCTGATAAAAAAATTGAAAAGCCGATAAATAAAATTGCCACTGGCCAATTGTCTGGGAGAAGAAGAAAAAAATCCCATCGTGAAATAATGCTTTTTAGCCTATTCATTGATGGAAATATCAGTCGATGTAAATACATTTGACTGGTCATGCTTATCTAGGTTAATTTGCATTATTTGGTGGAATTAATTTGGATTGTGTGTACAGTATACTTGTTATGTATCTTATTTATCGCACGTGTACAGCATACAGCTACAGAGCAGAAAAACTTTCAGACATCTCAAATAGCAAATGCATAGGCAACGAAAGGCAGGCTTCATCAGCGCGTCACACACCACTTTGCAATGAGCTGGAGGCAGTATGCATTTTGAAAACATATACTTAATTGTTTGAAACCTGAACATTTTACTACATATGAGGCATGTCTTACCTTGCTTCAAATTAGCCTAGCCAAAATCAGACTATATCCGTGGAGGCAATTATTTTATATCAACTTTCTTTCATTGTCCAATAACCAAAGGCACAATCCTAAACTGTGTTCGAATACCCATACTAACATACTGTATACTACATACTTAATGAGTATATACTACATACTATAAGTTAATTTTAGTATACTGTAAACTAACGGTATCTTTTCAGTTGAGCGTACTAGCGCTTCGCCTGTCTACCGGAAGTTGATGCTGTTGCTATACAACCTCTTGATAGCATAACATATTACTAGCTAGACATTTTACGACTTCAGGTGTGATCTTAAATTCAATCTGGAGTGCCAGAGTGCGCTCTGGACGTTCGTAAATTCAGAGCGCTGTCAGATTGTCCGTTTGTAAATTCAGAGCGTTTCGCTCTCGGAGCGTTCAAGTAGGGTTGATTTGAGTGTTCTGACCTTACAATGGGAGTCAAGCACCAAAGCTAACTGGCTAATGTTGGCTAGCTTGCTAGCTACTTCCAGACACAAATGAGAGAACAACTCACTCCGACCATTTTTCTCGCCCTAGCAGAGCTGGTTAGGCAGTTTTCATGTTATCCAGAGCGTTGGTGACTAACTGTGCTGCTGGCAACAATTTAATTACGCTTTTTGCCGACGTTTACTGACACCAGGCATATTCAACGGGAGTTGAGCGTTCGTAAATTCATCAGTTATTCTGCACTCTGGTACACTCAGACGAGAGTGCTCTGAAATCCGAGTACATAGCCATAGCGAATTTACGAAAGCACCCGAATGTCCATTGAAAACGCACAATGACTATACCGCTTAGCTATGCTAAGAATGACGGGAATAATCAAGTCTATAAACGTTGGGTAGTTAGTTAGATAGCATATAGTTAGGCCCGTGTAGCTCAGTTGGTAGAGCATGGCGTTTGCAACGCCAGGGTTGTGGGTTCGATTCCCACGGGGGGCCAGTATGAAACATTTATGCACTCACTAACTGTAAGTCGCTCTGGATAACAGCGTCTGCTAAATGACAAAAATGTAAAAGTAATATACTGGCAAGTTTGATGTATTAGTAGCCAACTAACATGTGGTAGCTAACTTACATACTGGTGTAATGATATGCTATGTGGTTCGTAAGGATAGCGTAGCTAACAAATTGTCAGCCAACATCACTTGAAGGTAATTTATTTGAAAAGTGATTAATTTATTACATTGCTCAACATTTGTCATAATTAGTTAAAGCAATACAATTGTATCCGCTCTCTTGGACTTCGGCTGCATATTTTCCTTCATTTTCTTCAAATCTGAAAACGATGTGAAACCACGCCCATTTTCGGAATAATTGCATTATGGGCCCTAAAAGCACAGAAATAGTGTCCACTGCTTGTACACTTCGTATTTTGGCGAATGTAGTACAACATCCGGGAACTTTTGGCATACTAACTATATCTATACTATGACCAATAAGCATACTAGATACTCAATTTCCATCACACGTAGTGCGGTTAGTATGAGTTTTCGAACACAGCTCTAGTCATATTAGCAACCCATGCTAGTTGTTGCATATTAGATCTCCCCTCCTTCTAAATTTCAAATTGCTATTTTCATCTCTGTTACATGAAACCGCTCGCATGTGTGGTGCGCTTTTGACAACAGTATTTTCCCACTAATTGCATTATTGCTGCACTTATAATCTGATGAAATAAAAGTTTATCAACATTTTAAGCTAAACGTTCTGATCTGTTGCATCAGACTCATTGCTTTAAAAATAAGAAAAAATTGCCTAGGCCTACTGTGAATTTGGGATCTATCATCCCACAACTGCACCAGAGTCTGTTTGGATTAGGCTATTTCTTTCTCAACAAGCTGACCAATAGAATAGGTCAACTTTTCTACTATGGGGGATAGTAGATTGACATAGGCTAGTGATTTTGCTGTTCGTTACTCATCTTGTTGGCTAAGGAAAAGTACATGTGGACAGTTATTCTAACATCTTCAAAGTGCGCATCATAATTCGGTAAGAAGGACCACACATCGTTGCATCCTTGACTTGCATGTTCTGTTAATATGAATGACCATAATCTAAATATGATTTCTGTCATTCTGAGCACCATGGGTGGACGCCCTAATCAGGTTACGCACCCAATGCATATGGGTCTGGTACATTTCTCAAATGTTCGGTAAATTAAAATGCTGCCGGTCAAATGTCCGGAGTCACATTTTTCTAATGGAAACCCTGCTGCAGGGGTGTGTGTGTGTACCTCCCATCCCAGGCCAGACACTAAATCCTCGTAGGCCTGGCTGCCTGCGCTGTTGGACAGGATGGAGCACTTGTCCTCCTGACCCTCTCCGATGTAGAACACAGCGATCTTGTGTGTCTCCCTGCTGTTAAGGCAAACACACAGCACAGCAGACCTGTCGTTAGAACAATGGACTTAGTGATGCTACACTGTTCTCAGTGCATACCTCCACACTCAGCCCAGTTAAGATGAGGGTGCTCTGAAATGTGAACTACACACCACCAAACATAACCTTGTCTCAGAGTAAAACTAATTATATTTGGCTCAAATCTGTGGCACTCCATTTAGTTTGAAATATTACTTTACGTTAGGTTATATTACATTGGCCTACAAATGTAATAGCAGTCATTCAATATACTACGAATTGCAGGACGTATAGTATGTTAAGAATTACAATTCGTAACATACTATTACAATTACAAGGTTAGGGTTAAGGGTTAGGATTAAGGTTAGGAGTTAGGTTAAAGGGTTAAGGTTAGGGGAAGGGTTAGCTAACATTCTAAGTAGTTGCAAAGTAGCGAAAAAGTAGTAAGTAGTTGCAAAGTTGCTAATTAGCTAAAATGCTAAAGTTGTTTGTGATGAGATCCGAACATGCATCCTTTGGGTTGCTAGACATTCACATTTTTGCCTTAAGTAACCTACTGTCCTATCAAACTTAATATATCATTCTAAACGGGTCAAATAATGTAACCTAATGTAAAGTAACATATCATACTAAATCTGAGTGCCACGGATTTTAGTAAAACATCATATGTTTTGCTCTGAGACCAGGCTGCCAAACGTACACCTCCACACAATAATGTGCAAATTCCAGAAAGTAATTGTAGCAAATATGGTCTAATATTAGAGCAAACAACATGTGTCTTAAGAGTTAACGTACAATAGTATGTTTGTGTTTACTGCCCCCCCCCCCCCCCCCCGTCATGTGACAAACAAAACAAGAGCAGACACATAGTTCCACCACTGCGCTTCACCGTTGTCATGGTGGAGCATGGCGCAATGTTAAATTGGGGGCATTTTGCATGCTTCCAAACAGGTTGCCTTGTCTGCTAAAATCCTGGGGGCATTCTTTAATAAGCCCAAGTCATTAGCAGTGTGAAGTGCCTATTGATCGCTGTGTGTGAGTGCTGCCGAGCTGTGATCAGCCCGAGATGGTGTAGATTAGAAGGAGAGGAGGGGAGGGCAGAGTGGAGCTGTTTTAATATGTGTCGCCTTGAGAGTGTGATCTTTACTGATTTAGAGGAAGAGAATCTTCATTAGTGGGCTTAGGTTCAGAGTAATGATGGACATGGAACGCTGCAATATTTCAGGCTTAGCTAGAATACCCAGGTGAAATCTAGGATGGTTTGGTCAAAAGGTCTTGATTAGAGATTAAACACTGATTCACAATTCAGTAAGTTCCTTTTAAAATGCCGAACAAGAAGCAAATCGTACATGCCAATGTTATCTAGGGATACAGTGTGTGCTGAAGAGGACCTAAATAATTAGTGTACAGGAACATACCACTGCCTGGAATCCAAATTCTTCAGTTCTCTCAAGAGCTTTGAGTTCTTCTTCAGGAGATGAAAGCTTTTCCTGAAAAGGAATAAACAAAATTGAACTTCAAATGCATCCAGATGGCACTTTACACTGTACCAGTGCAAAGACTGTGCTTGCTATTTTTTGAATGGTAAAACACAGATTGAAAGTAGGAGAAGAACGTTTCATGTTTTACGTTTGGTTTTTGGTCTGAAGAGTAACAGGTGCAAACAGGTTTAAATTGAGCTCTGAAACCATTACTGATCTACAGTTGTTTCCCTGTGGAGAGCAGAATAACGCCTTTCCAGCCTCTTTTTCTCTCCCACTTTCTTGCTCTCCGTGAGGTATTCTTCTAACTAGTCTACAACTGTGGATGAGGTGTTGTTGTTCTCTACTCTGTACCTGCGGTCCCATGAGTTCATGCCCAAGTCGTTGAGTAGCAGTCTGCAGAAGTAGAAGAGAGCTTTGGGCTCCTGGTGAGCGGGTTCTCTCTGGCCGGTGGCCTTGACGTTCACGTCTGCATTCCACCTCTTCACCTGCTCCTCCTCCTGCTGCGTCTGCCTGAGGATGGCCTCCATGATGGCCCCCTCCTGCTCCAGGTTCATCCCACAGGGAGAGGGGGCTGGCTGGTTGAGCCTAAGCCGGGGCTGGGGCAGGCACTCAGGGCTGCTGTATCCCAGGTCCTCCAGGAGCTGGTCCAGGACATCAACCTTCTCCTCCTCCTCCTCCTCCTCCTTCTCCTCCTCATCACAGCCTGACTGGGAGTCCCAGCCAGGAGGGTTGGAGCGCTCTGAGGTCCCTGGTGAGGTGGGCTTGGTGGTGGAGTGGTTGGAGGGGTCTTCACTCCCCTGATGCATGCTGTTGACTCCCTCCTGGGTGCGGTAGAGGACCCCTCCGTCCCAGGAGTACTTTCCAGAGATGTCCCTGACGATGACCCGTACCTGGGAGGAGTTCTCGTATGGTTCCCCTGGACCAGAGGGCTCTGAAGGCACCTGGAGGTAGGACACCAGGGTGCTGTCGTTGAACACAAACAGCTGCAGGTTGGGGCTCTTGAATACCTCCGAGGAGAGCTCTGATGACTCCACAAAGGGGTTGTCGTGGTTCTCACTGACCAGGCTGTGCAGGAGGGCGGGGCCACCACTGAGGGGATGGTGGCCCAGGTGGTTCACAAGGTGTGTCATGATCATCCGCGCCGTCAGAGGGATCAGCTCCATATTCCGTCTTTTCTTCTCTGAAGGCAAGAGGAGAACAGGATAAACAGGAGTGAATATGATGGTCTACAGACATCCTGAGAGACAAACCATTTCATAAACCTTTTAAGTCCCCCCATGTTTACATGTATTTCACACAGTGAAGTCAAGACCCAGCACATGTATTCTGTCATGTGTTGTATGTACTCATGTATTTAATGTTTTGTGTGGAACCCAGGAAGAGTAGCTGCTGCATGTGCATTTTACATGTACATCGGAGTCATTTAGCAGACACTCTTATCCAGAGCAACTTACAGTAGTGAGTGCATACATTTTCATAATTTTTTTCGTACTGTGCAACAGCTAATGTGCAACAGCTAAAGGGGATCCTAATAAACTATAGTAAACTCATTTAGCAATTCAACGCGAACTTGGGGCTTCATCTTTTTTAACCAAATTACCATGTGTAGACATGTTCTCAATTCTCTCGCCTTTTCACACAAAAAGCTAGCTTTTCCTTCATAATAACTAATAGGGTCGTTTTTCATTTCTCACAATGGTTATGGCCAACACACATCTGCCATAAATAAGTAGGTAGCATCTAATCATGGGAGACAACTTTGAAAAACCCATTGAGTCTGCTACAATGGGAGGAGAGAAAAGACTGGCAAAGTGCTAATGAGAACCACGTCTTTACAGGACGGTGAATAGAGTGCTACACCATGTATCAGATTTATTTAAATGCTCAGGACTACTCCAAAATGAAAGAGATATCATGTAACGATGGGGGAAAAACAAGTAGATGCGCTCTGCATTGTGACAGTGCTATCAATACCATCATCCCTCATCAAAGTGGAGAAAGCTCTTTAGAGAGGATGCATTAGAGATACACAGGCCCTTTGATGAGACTTAATCAATATGATCTAAAGGGAAATGCATAGTGCTCTTTGGTTGGTCTGCTGAGGCCATCTGTAGTTTCTATTTAGACTTTGTAGGGCTGTATGAAAAGTAATGACATAAGCTAGATATTTCAGCTGGGCTTAGCCAACATTACATCAATGGGTATGTTCTTTTGGTTGAAAGAAAAAATGACTTCTGAAACATCAGTAGAAGAAATGGCTGATGTAAAGAAATACTCTAATACATTACCTAATGGCACCACAAGGTCACTAATAAAAATCATTTTTAGATGTCTCTTTGATAATGGGTCCTCTCCCTGGGGCAGAGCACTAATGCCTACCTCTTTAAACATTCCATTCCATGTGTTTGTCTAGTAAATATTAGGTCAAAACATTAACATTTAATGGAGTAGCTACCTCCAAATGGAAGGCTACCTATTAAAAGGTTACATCTCCCTGTAGATCCCCCACTGCCCATTTCCCAGGTGGTTTGGGAGAGGAAGAGTGTGGTCTGGATGAGGAAGAGTAATATCTAAAACAAGCAGGGGCAGCTGGGCACACACCTTGGATGACAGGATACTCAAAAGCATTCTATTGCTCTTTCACGCAAACACGCATGCACATACACACGCACGTACACACGCTCAAACACACACTGTCTAACACACACACCACATTCACACGCTCAAACACACACTGTCTCTAACACACAAACACACGCAGGTACACACGCTCAAACACACACTGTCGTTAACACACAAACACACAAACATACACACGCTCAAACACACGCTCAAACACACTGTCTCTAACACACAAACACACGCACGTACACACGCTCAAACACACACTGTCGCTAACACACAAACACACGCACGTACACATGCTCAAAACACACACTGTCTAACACACAAACGTACACAGCCCTCCTTTAATTTCTCTGTCAGCCCAGAGCAATCTCCTACACAGCAGGTATTAAACGGGTGGCACCTCATCTGCCCATCCTGCCTCCTGCTGTGTTGGTGACAGTAGTGAGGGCGGTGACAGTTGTGAGGTCTCAGGTCTCCTTACCCTCGGCCACGGTGAGAAGGTTGCCAAAGTCTGTGGCGGTGTGTGAGGGCGGGGGCTCAGAACACTTGACCTGGCCCAGCGTGAGGAAGGGGTCATAGTCAGTGGAGAGGTCAGACAGGCTCAGGAGGTAGTGACTCTGCTGGGTGTGCAGGTTGGAGCCAGAGACACAGCAGTGAAGCACCTACCGGACAGGATAGAGGATAGGAGTCAACACCTAGTGGGTTAAAGCAACTTCGAGAGAAAAACAGTGGTAATGTGGTAATCCTGCATGTGGCATATGGTGGTAACCTTGAATACAGTCACTGCTACTGTTCCTTTGTGTGGCTGGCTGCACAGCATCAACGAGCACACAGGACTCATGAATTAGAAACATTACATACTCATACAGACACACTACCCAGTCTGCCTGAGAGTCTTAGAGCATGTGACAGTGGAGGCACAGCCAAAAACATTGACCTTACAGTATCTGAAACACAGAGTAAGTAACAAAGTAAGTAGGTAAGTAAGTAATTAAGTAACTAAGTAGTAACTAAGTAACTAACTAAGAGGACAATTATGCAGTAATCTTGAACGCAGAGGTTGCAGGTATGGAAGATAATCAGTGAAGCATTGCTTATTGCACTTTGAATGGTTCATGAACATACCGAGGGGGAATATATGGTCTGTTTGACATGGTGAGCCGGCGATCTAAGGGAGGAGAAGCTCTTTATTGCCACTAATCCATTTCTCCTGTGATGAGTGAGTGTGTCGATCTGCTTGCGAAAGTATTCACCCCCCTTGGCATTTTTCCTATTTTGTTGTCTTACAACCTGGAATTAATTTTTGGGGGGTTTGTATCATTTGATTTACACAACATGCCTACCACTTTGAAGATGCAAAATATTTTTTTTGTGAAACAAACAAGAAATATGCCAAAAAAACTTGAGCGTGCATAACTATTCACCCCCCCCCCCCCAAGTCAATACTTTGTAGAGCCACCTTTTGCAGCAATTACAGCTGCAAGTCTCTTGAGGTATGTCTCTATAAGCTTGGCACATCTAGCCATTCTTCAAGGCAAAACTGCTCCAGCTCTTCAAGTTGGATGGGTTCCGCTGGTGTACAGCAATCTGGATTGGAATTGAGGTCTGGGCTTTGACTAGGGCATTCCAAGACATTTAAAATGTTTCCCCTTAAACCACCCGAGTGTTGCTTTAGCAATATGCTTAGGGTCATTGTCCTGCTGGAAGGTGAACCTCCGTCTTCTGCCTCAAATCTCTGGAAGACTGAAACAGGTTTCCCTCAAGAATTTCCCTGTATTTAGCACCATCCATCATTCCTTCAATTCTGACCAGTTTCCCAGTCCCTGCCGATGAAAAACATTCCCACAGCATGATGCTGCCACCACCATGCTTCACTGTGGGGATGGTGTTCTCGGGGTGATGAGAGGTGTTGGGTTGGCGCCAGACATAGCGTTTCCCTTGATGGCCAAAAAGCTCAATTTTAGTCTCATCTGACCAGAGTACCTTCTTCCATATGTTTGGGGAGTCTCTGACATGGCTTTTGGCGAACACCAAACGTGTTTGCTTATTTTTTTCTTTAAGCAATGGCATTTTTCTGGCCACTCATCTGTAAAGCCCAGCTCTGTGGAGTGTACGGCTTAAAGTGGTCCTATGGACAGATACTCCAATCTCCGCTGTGGAGCTTTGCAGCTCCTTTAGGGTTATCTTTGGTCTCTTTGTTGCCTCTCTGATTAATGCCCTCCTTGCCTGGTCCGTGAGTTTTAGTTGGCGGCCCTTTCTAGGCAGGTTTGTTGTGGCGCCATATTCTTTCCATTTGTTAATAATGGATTTAAATGGTGCTCCGTGGGATATTCAAAGTTTCTGATATTTTTTTATAACCCAACCCTGATCTGTACTTCTCCACAACTTTGTCCCTGACCTGTTTGGAGAGCTCCTTAGTCTTCATGGTGCCGCTTGCTTGGTGGTGCCCCTTGCTTAGTGGTGTTGCAGACTCTGGGGCCTTTCAGAACAGGTGTAATATACTGAGATCATGTGACAGATCATGTGACACTTAGATTGCACACAGGTGGACTTTATTTAACTAATTATGTGACTTCTGAAGGTAATCCTTTGCACCAGATCTTATTTAGGGGCTTCATAGCAAAGGGGGTGAATACATATGCATGCACCACTTTTCCGTTATTTATTTTTTAGAATTTTTTGAAACAAGGTCTTTTTTTCATTTCACTTCACCAATTTTGACTATTTTGTCCATTACATGAAATCCAAATAAACATCAATTTAAATTACAGGTTGTAATGCAATAAAATAGGAAAAATACCAAGGGGGATGATACTTTTGCAAGACACTTTAACAGATGGTACGGCATCAGTCCGTTGGGTTGGCAGGACTAGATAAGACCCGCTGGGTCAGTTGATTACACTGATTGGACAAGTTTATTCTGTTTGATTTAATTAAGATTTTATCCCTCTGCTCATGTTGCCACAGACATGCACACACAATCAAACATGCACACACAATCACTCACTCACACACAGTGTGCGCGCGCAGAGACAGTCACACACAATCACAATCACTCACTCACACACACACTCGCGCAGAGACAGTCACACAGACACATGCAATCACTCACACCTACTCTCACACACATACACACAATCACTCACAGTCACACACACACCCTCACACACACACACACACACACGTAAACATGCATGGACACACACACACCTGTGTGCTGTAAGCAGAGAAGTGTTTGGAAGCTACGCCTGACATACCAGACAAAAGCAAACTGTGGGGCCTATCACACTGAGTGGGTAGACTTGGTAAACCCATTGTGGAGGCTGGTCCATGTAAATGAATGGTTAATCCCATTCAACAGACATATGCACACTTGGCTGAGGCTCAGAGGAGAGGCACAGGTTCTGTCATCTGAAACAGTATTGTGTGGGGAAATGCAGACAGTATGTGGATTATTATGCCTAACAGTCCTCTGGGCATGGGGGGGGGGGATTAGAGTTTATGGAGAAAAGACCAGAACCAAACAGCTGCCACACCAAAGCCCCAAAGTGGTTCCTCTGTGGAGGAGAAAAAAAGCTTTGGCTTGCTTGACGACTAAGTGGCTGCACCTCGCATAGCAACAGTTCCAGGAAGGTAACACACAACCGACCAAACATGGATATGTGTAGATGTGCACAGAGGCACATATGTACACTCACTCACAGATGCACAAAAACATACACACAAGCAAATAGACCACTCACGCACGCGCACGCACACACACACAGCGAGGGGAGGGTGCAGCTGCTGAGGCAGGCAGAGAGCAGATGGAGGAGCCAGAGTGGAGCTCCAGTGAACCAATAAGGTCCAGAGCAATCATGCCTTTTACACAGAGAAGCCTCATGCTGTTAGATACAAATACCAAGTTCAAATCCTCAGTAGAGATGCAGAAATGTCCCATCGTTCTTCATCATCGTATGAATGGCTCACTTAAATTTAATCTGCTGACTGATTTGTTAAGATAAACATCTAATACATATCCAGAAGAGAGGCAGAATAAAGTATGCATAAACAAGACAAATCGCTTTATTCATTTTGTGAGGTTTACTGCTATGTACAGTTGATGTCGGAAGTTTACATACACCTTAGCCAAATACATTTAAACTCAGTTTTTCACAATTCCTGACATTTAATCCTAGTAAAATGTCCCTGTCTTAGGTCAGTTAGAATCACCACTTTATTTTAAGATTGTGAAATGTCAGAATAATAGTAGAGAGATTTATTTCAGCTTTTATTTCTTACATCACATTCCCAGTGGGTCAGAAGTTTACATCCACTCAATTAGTAATTGATAGCATTGCCTTTAAATTGTTTAACTTGGGTCAAACGTTTTGGGTAGCCTTCCACAAGCTTCCCACAATAAGTTGGGTGAATTTTGGCCCATTCCTCCTGACAGAGCTGGTGTAACTGAGTCAGGTTTGTAGGCCTCCTTGCTCGCACACGCCTTTTCAGTTCTGCCCACACATTTTCTATAGGATTGAGGTCAGGGCTTTGTGATGGCCACTCCAATACCTTGACTTTGTTGTCCTTAAGCCATTTTGACACAACTCTGGAAGTATGCTTGGGGTCATTGTCCATTTGGAAGACCCATTTGCGACCAAGCTTCAACTTCCTGACTGATGTCTTGAGATGTTGCTTCAATATATCCACATCATTTTCCTTCCTCATGATGCCATCTATTTTGTGAAGTGCACCAGTCCCTCCTGCAGCAAAGCACCGCCACAGCATGATGCTGCCACACCTGTGCTTCACGGTTGGGATGGTGTTCTTCGGCTTGCAAGGTACCCCCCTTTTCCTCCAAACATAACGATGGTCATTATGGCCAAACAGTGCTATTTTTGTTCATAAGACCAGAGGACATTTCTCAAAAAATTCTGATCTTTGTCCCCATGTGCAGTTGCAAACCGTAGTCTGGCTTTTTTATGGCGGTTTTGGAGCAGTGGCTTCTTCCTTGCTGAGCGGCCTTTCAGGTTATGTCGATATAGGACTCGGTTTACTGTGGATATAGATAATTTTGTACCTGTTTCCTCCAGCATCTTCACTAGGTCCTTTTGCTGTTGTTCTGGGATTGATCTGCACTTTTCGCACCAAAGTATGTTAATCTCTAGGAGACAGAACGCGTCTCCTTCCTGAGCGGTATGAAGGCTGCGTGGTACCATGGTGTTTATACTTGCAAACTATTGTTTGTACAGATGAACGTGGTACCTTCAGGCGTTTGGGAATTGCTCCCAAGGATGAACCAGATTTGTGGAGGTCTACAATTGTTTTTCTGAGGTCTTGGCTGATTTCTTTTGATTTTCCCATGATGTCAAGCAAAGAGGCACTGCGTTTGAAGGTAGGCCTTGAAATACATCCAATTGACTCAAATGATGTCAATTAGCCTATCAGAAGCTTCTAAAGCCATGACATCATTTTCTGGAATTTTCCAAGCTGTTTAAAGGCACAGTCAACTTAGTGTATGTAAACTTCTGACCCACTGGAATTGTGATACAGTGAATTATAAGTGAAATAATCTGTCTGTAAACAATTGTTGGAAAAATTACTTGTGTCATGCACAAAGTAGATGTCCTAACCGCTTGCCAAAACTATAGTTTGTTAACAAGAAATTTGTGGAGGGGTTGAAACATGGGTTTTAATGACTCCAACCTAAGTGTATGTAAACTTCCGACTTCAACTGTAAATGAGTGCCTAGCTGAAAAGACTGAGTATTGAATAGCCTTATGAAGGATATTTTAAAGAAAGCGTTTTGTTGTGAGTACAGTTTGAAGTCCATTTTGTATTGGAGACCAGTAGAGACGTGTATTTAGTGTGTTTGTGATATTCTCTGGTTTTATTACGTTAATATTGTCCAAATATGTTGCTCCTCACATTGTATATCTGAAAACAAGAGGACAAGCATTTCACTAAGGTCAGGGTAACGCTTATTTACCTATGATGAAATTAAGAGACACTTTACTGTTATGTGCACAATAGAACAACAAATGACATTTATTTAATTCCTAGATAGCAGCTGCAGTCTCTCTCATTTTAAGAAATATTAAACTCAAATCCAGACAGGCTTTTATATCCAGGCTTATCACAAGGACAAAGACACATCTACATAATTTGACAATTTCTTATCAGGGGTGACATCCATATAAAGGATTGTCTTTGACCGCATCTGTCAAAACTCCAATGAATAACACCACATTAATTTAGCCTGATGCTCAGCCTCTTCTCGCTAAATAAGGGTTATAAATGAATGTTTTTGGGTATTACATGTGTTTTACCAAACAGGTGGGGTGGTTAGGTGGACATTCTCACATAACAGTAGAAACTGGAAACAAAAATTGGAAACTGAATTTCCAAGGCGGCATAGGCATAGAACAAACTTTAAATGCTGAATAGGGCATCTGAATAGGGCTGTGGTTGGGGTAAGACAAATTACTTTGACACTGTATTCTCTCTATGTTACCCACCCTGTAGATATAGTCGAGCAGAGGGGCCTTGTGGGATGTGGGGTCCTCCAGCACGGGCATGCTGATGGGCTCCAGCAGCATACTCAGGGGCATGGCCATGCACCAGTCCAGCAGGCACAGCAGCAGAGATACCATTAGCTGAGTCATACAAAGAGAGGAGAGGCCTTTTCCATTAGCCCAGCACCCTCCACACACAATGAAGCCTACTGTACGCAAAGATAATCAATAAAACAGCTAGGGAGAGGGATGAGGTAGGGAGAGAGGGACAGAGAGGGAGGGCTGGAGGGAGAAAAAGAGAGAGAAAAGGAGAGAGAAAATGAGATAGAAATCAGGAAGGGAGAGACACAAATAGGGTCCAGACAAAACAAGATTCCTGTACAAATTCCCTCGCTACATCTATCGAAAAAGGGTCCTTCAGACTTCAGCCATTTTATGCTCTTTTCAACTTCCCCGTACCTTTTTGTCAGCCTCCACCGTCGAGTGCTCTGCGCTCGGCAACAGAAATGCTATAGTGGCCACAAAGATCTGCATGGTACAAAAATAAAGGAACACTTCGATGACATGTATTTCTCAAGTGAAAGAAGATAGCATGTCCCATAATAGGAGATGGTTAGGTGAGCTGAGGGGGAGCGGTGTCATCCTACCTCAATGATCTTCTTTGGGAGAGAGCGCTCTAGCCTCTGGAGGTGTTCCCAGTGAGAGATGAGGAGCTGGAACAGGTCACAGGCTACCTGAGCCACGGCCTTGTTCCCAAACTGACAAGCGAGCAAGAGAGAGTGAGAGAGCGAGGACAGTAAACGAGAGATCAGGGTTCGTCTTCTGCGAAGTCAACAACGTAGTAGGATGAGTGGTTGTATAAAACTATTATGGGGACCTCTGGCATAACAGAAACATTTATGAAAATGTCTTGGTTCTGCAAATAACTTTCTTTCAAACTACAGTTTATTTATGGACTGATTGGCAGACACAGCTGTGTTGTTAAAAAAGGTGATCTGGAATTTCGCCTGTTTTCTAGCTGAATGTAACAAGAGCAGACAATGCAGGAGAGCAAAAATGGCCCAACACAAAGACTGATCCAGAGCGTTCAGCACCTGCTTTTAGAAAAGCACCCCTCCCTCATCCCCTTTATTTTGGGCCAGCCGGGTGTGTGTGTCAAGTTGGGCAGGGGAGTGATTACTGCTCCATTAGAGGGGGGTATTGCACTAGTAAGAAACTTAAATGCTTAAATTGGCCTGCATCCACTGAGAGCGAGTGGTCTGGAAATTACTCCACCGCCCCGAGCTCTTTTCCCAAAACCCTCAGGTTCTCTCTGCATATTTCCACTGATAGACAGGGGAGCAGAGGTCTTCAAAAACATACAGGAGTCACACCACTGAGCACGTTGTCACTCACATAGATGCTGATGCAACAACACACTCACCTTTAGTGTTACGCCCAGTACATTGATGGCATCCTTGACCTGGTGGTGAATATTGTTCTGCATCAGCTCCTCACATACCCACAGGCCCAGACTACATACAGCTATATACCTAGAACACACAGAAGACCAGTGAGAGAATACTGATGCACGCTATGGGACCAATTACATACTTACTCATGTTGTATCTCTGAAATTCCAATCAAATCAAATGTTATTTGTCACATGCGCAGGTGTAGACCTTACAGTGAAATGCTTACTTACAAGCCCTTAACCAACAATGCAGTTTTGAGAAGAATACCATTACTAAATAAAATAATACGAAATAAAAGTAACAAATAATTTAAGAGCAGCAGTAAAAATAACAATAGCGAGGCTATATACAGGGGGTACTGGTACCGAGTCAATGTGCGGGGCATAGATAAGTGACTATGCATAGATAATAAACAGAGAGTAGCAGCAGCGTAAAGGGGGGGGGGGGGGGGGGGGGGGGCAATGCAAATAGTCTGGGTAGCCATTTGATTAGATGTTCAGGAGTCTTATGGCTTGGGGGTAGAAGCTGTTTAGAAGCCTCTTGGACATAGACTTGGCGCTCCGGTACCGCTTGCCGTGCGGTAGCAGAGAGAACAGTCTATGACTAGGGTGGTTGGAGTCTTTGACAATTTTTAGGGCCTTCCTCTGACACTGCCTGGTATAGAGGTCCTGGATGGCAGGAAGCTTGGCCCCAGTGATGTACTGGGCCGTACGCACTACCCTCTGTAGTGCCTTGCGGTCGGAGGCCGAGCAGTTGCCATACCAGGCAGTGATGCAACCAGTCAGGATGCTCTCGATGGTGCAGCTGTACAACCTTTTGAGAATCTGAGGACCCATGCCAAATCTTTTCAGTCTCCTTAGGGGGAATAGGTTTTGTTGTGCCCTCTTCATGACTGTCTTGGTGTGCTTGGACCATGTTAGTTTATTGGTGATGTGGACACCAAGGAACTTGAAGCTCTCAACCTGCTCCACTACAGCCCCGTCAATGAGAATGGGGGCGTGCTCGGTCCTTTTCTTTTTCCTGTAGTCCACAACCATCATCTCCTTTGTCTTGATCACGTGGAGGGAGAGGTTGTTGTCCTGGTCCTGGTGTTGAGGATCAGCGTGGCGGATGTGTTGTTACCTACCTTTACCACCTGGGGGCAGCCTGTCAGGAAGTCCAGGATCCAGTTGTAGAGGGAGGTGTTTAGTCCCAGGGTCCTTAGCTTAGTGATGAGCTTTGAAGGCAGTATGGTTTTGAACATTGAGCTGTAGTCAATGAATAGCATTCTCACATTGGTGTTCCTTTTGTCCAGGTGTGAAAGGGCAGTGTGGAGCACAATATAAATTGCATCATCTGTGCATCTGTTTCTGGGATAATGGTGTTGATGTGAGCCATGACCAGCCTTTCAAAGCACTTCATGGCTACAGACGTGAGTGCTACGGATCGGTAGTCATTTAGGCAGGTTACCTTAGTGTTCTTGGGCACAGGGACTATGGTGGTCTGCTTGAAACATGTTGGTATTACAGACTCAGACAGGGAGAGGTTGAAAATGTCAGTGAAGACACTTGCCAGTTGGTCAGCGCATGCTCGGAGTACACTTCCTGGTAATCCGTCTGGCCCTGCGGCCTTGTGAATGTTGACCTGTTTAAAAGGTCTTACTCACATCGGCTACGGAGAGCGTGATCACACAGTCGTCCGGAACAGCTGATGCTCTCATGCATGTTTCAGTGTTACTTGCCTCGAAGCGAGCATAGAAGTAATTTAGCTCGTCTGGTAGGCTCGTGTCACTGGGCAGCTCGCGGCTGTGCTTCCCTTTGTAGGCTGTAATAGTTTGCAAGCCCTGCCACATCCGACAAGCGTCGGAGCCGGTGTAGTACGATTCGATCTTAGTCCTGTATTGACGCTTTGCCTGTTTAATGGATCGTCGGAGGGCATAGCGGGATTTCTTATAAGCTTCCGGGTTAGAGTCCCGCTCCTTGAAAGCGGCAGCTCTACCCTTTAGCTCAGTGTGGATGTTACCTGGGATCCATGGCTTCTGGTTGGGGTATGTATGTACAGTCACTGTGGGAACGACGTCACTTATTGATGAAGCCAGTGACTGATGTGGTGTACTCCTCAATGCCATCGGAAGATCCCAGTCTGTGCTAGAAAAACGGTCCTGTAGCTTAGCATCTGCTTCATCTGACCACTTTTTTATTGACTGAGTCACTGGTGCTTCCTGCTTTAGTTTTTGCTTGTAAGCAGGAATCAGGAGGATAGAATTATGGTCAGATTTGCCAAATGGAGGAAGAGGGAGAGCTTTGTACGTGTCTCTGTGTGTGGAGTAAAGGTGGCCTCTAGTTTTTTTTCCCCTCTGGTTGCACATTTAACATGCTAGTAGAAATGAGGTAAAAACTGATTTAAGTTTCCCTGCATTAAAGTCCCCGGCCACTAGGAGCGCCGCCTATGGATGAGCGTTTTCCTGTTTGCTTATGGCCGTATACAGTTCATTGAGTGAGGTCTTAGTGCCAGCATTGGTTTATGGTGGTAAATAGACAGCTACGAAGAATATAGATGAAAACTCTCTTGGTAGATAATGTGGTCTACAGCTTATCATGAGATACTCTACCTCAGGCGAGCAAAACCTTGAGACTTCCTTAGATATATTGCACCAGCTGTTGTTTACAAATATACATAGACCGCCATCCCTTGTCTTAACAGAGGCTGCTGTTCTATCCTGACGATACAGTGTATAACCCGTTATTCATGTCTTCGTTCAGCCACGACTCAGTTTTTAATGTCCCGTTGGTAGGATATACAGCTGAAGTCGGAAGTTTACATACACCTTAGCCAAATACATTTAAACTCAGTTTTATACAATTCCTGACATTTAATCCTAGTAAAAATTCCCTGTCTTAGGTCAGTTAGGATCACCACTTTATTTTAAGAATGTGAAAGGTCAGAATAATAGTAGAGAGATGTATTTATTTCAGCTTTTATTTATTTCATCACATTATCAGTGGGTCAGAAGTTTACATACACTCAATTAGTATTTGGTAGCATTGCCTTTAAATTGTTTAAACTTGGGTCAAACGTTTTGGGTAGCCTTCCACAAGCTTCCCACAATAAGTTGGGTGAATTTTGGCCCATTCCTCCTGACAGAGCTGGTGTAACTGAGTCAGGTTTGTAGGCCTCGCTCGCACACACTTTTTCAGTTCTGCCCACAAATTTCCTATAGGATTGAGGTCAGGGCTTTGTGATGGCCACTCCAATACCTTGATTTTGTTGTCCTTAAGCCATTTTGCCACAACTTTGGAAGTATGCTTGGGGTCGTTGTCCATTTGGAAGACCCATTTGCGACCAAGCTTCAACTTCCTGACTGATGTCTTGAGATGTTGCTTCAATATATCCACATAATTTTCCTTCCTCATGATGCCATCTATTTTGTGAAGTGCACCAGTCCCTCCTGCAGCAAAGCACCCCCACAGCATGATGCTGCCACCCCCGTGCTTCACGGTTGGGACGGTGTTCTTTGGCTTGCAAGTCCTCCCTTTTTCCTCCAAATATAACGATGGTCAAACAGAGGACATTTCTCCAAAAAGTACAATCTTTGTCCCCATGTGCAGTTGCAAACCGTAGTCTGGCTTTTTTTATGGCGGTTTTGGAGCAGTGGCTTCTTCCATGCTGAACAGCCTTTCAGGTTATGTCGATATAGGACTCGTTTTACTGTGGATATAGACACTTTTGTACCTGTTTCCTCCAGCATCTTCACAAGGTCCTTTGCTGTTGTTCTGGGATTGATTTGCACTTTTCGCACCAAAGTATGTTCATTTCTAGGAGACAGAACGCGTCTCCTTCATGAGCGGTATGAAGGCTGCGTGGTACCATGGTGTTTATACTTGCAAACTATTGTTTGTACAGATGAACGTGGTACCTTCAGGCTTTTGGAAATTGCTCCCAAGGATGAACCAGATTTGTGGAGGTCTACAATAATGTTTTTGAGGTCTTGGCTGATTTCTTTTGATTTCCCCATGATGTCAAGCAAAAAGGCACAGAGTTTGAAGGTAGGCCTTGAAATACATCCACAGGTACACCTCCAATTGACTCAAATGATGTCAATTAGCCTATCAGACGCTTCTAAAGCCATGACATCATTTTCTGGAATTTTCCAAGCTGTTTAAAGGCACAGTCAACTTAGTGTATGTAAACTTCTGACCCACTGGAATTGTGATACAGTGAATTATAAGTTAAATAATCTGTCTGTAAACAATTGTTGGAAAAATTACTTGTGTCATGCACAAAGTAGATGTCCTAACCGACTTGCCAAAACTATAATTTGTTAACAAGAAATTTGTGGAGTGGTTGAAAAACGAGTTTTAATGATTCCAACCTAAGTGTATGTAAACTTCCGACTTCAACTGTACGTGCTTGTAGTTCGTCCACTTTATTATCAAGCGATTGTAAATTGGCCAATAGTATTGATGGCAAAGGCAGATTAGCCACTTGTTGCCGGCTCCTTACCAAGCACCCGGATCTCCTTCCGCGATATCTCCTTTTCTTTCTACTGCGAATGACGGGGATGAGGGCCCTGTCGGGTGTCTGGAGCAAATCCCTCTCGTCCGACTCATAAAATAAAAATTATTCGTCCAGTTCAAGGTGAGCGATCGCTGTTCTGATGTCCAGAAGCTATTTTCGGTCATAAGAGACGGTAGCAGCAACTTTATGTACAAAATAATTTACAAACAATGCGAAGAAACACACAAAATAGCACGGTTGGTTAAGAGCCCATAAAACGTCAGCCATCCCCTCCGGCGCCATTGCATTACCCCCTTTTTATTTTCTTCTTACATTACACAAATTCATCAAATATTTTATATTTGTTCATATGAAATATGAACATTAATCCACTCAATCCAATCAATCCCATTCCCTCCACACGACTGTTCCTTTCTTCTGCACCCCCATCCCCTCCATACCTGGCCGCTTCACAGGGTTCATTCCGTGCCGTCTTCAGTAAGATGTTGACCAGATAGTCCTGAAGGGAGAGGGTAGAGGAGACATGATGATGTTCAATCCACTTCACATACCATCCAAACTTTCCATTTTATTAATCAAGATACTTGAACTCTAACTACAGGGAACTGCTATCCAATTTTTTTTATTTGTTTGCTGTCTGAATATTTACTAAAATGTCAAAGTACATGTAAGAACTATGAATACCTTGATGTCCTCGTTCCCGACAACAATGTCATCAGTTCCGGGAACGGTCTGCAGTAGTGGAATCTGCAGGTAGAGGTTGGGTAAACAGACCAGCGACCCAAGGACGGTCTGTGCGTCAATCCTCGGAGCCTTTCAGATTAAAATAACACACATTCGTCATCTCATCACTACAGAACTCTGATTATGTTGCATGAAACATTCATCTTGAAGGAAAAGCCTTCAGGAGAAAAGCATCCAGGAGAAAGTCCTCCAGGAGCGGCAGCATTATGTTGTTTAACTCACTGAATATGTTTCCATTGAGTTGAATACTGTGTAGTACATTCAACACACTAATCTGAACTTCAGAATGAAGTATAGTAGAATAGGTTTAACGACCCTAAATACATTGGATTACATATTGCGTCACATTTGATGTAAGCCTGCCTGCCTGTCTATGTGTGTGTCTGCGTCTGTTTGTGCAGACCTGCGTACCTCTGAGGAGTCGTGGCTGAGGATGCGTGCTGCAGCGGTAATGAAGTCTCCCACCAGCATAGTGAAGCCAGGCAGGCCCAGGTAGAAGAAGCGTGGGGAACAGGAACGGATCACTGTGTTTAGAACGTCCTGAGAGCGAACACACACACCACACAGATGGTCATGGTGGTTAGGTCAATGGATTGATTGAATGATCATTAAAATAAACATAGAGCCATATCTTTTGTAAGTAGGTGGCATGTATCTCTGGTATTCTGATACGTGTATTTTGGGGAATGGACAGTCACTGAGCTCTGGAAAATAATGATAGCATAGTAGTGCTTCCCAAATTGCTACAAATATGACAACAGCGCACTCAGGAGAGCACAGCATTTCACAGTCCATATCTTACAAAAACAGAAATGAGGACGAGGGATGGAGAAAAAGAGAGAGGAATGGGAGAAAGAGACAGCACATGGGTTGATCACACAGCACAAGGGAGGGGGAATGGTGGAACAAAAGTACCACACACACACACACAGTATTAAAGAGAGTATTGAAGAGGGATTTAAGTATACGTGGGCAGAAAGTACCGCTCCACAATAACAATGGTCATCTCATCACCCTGATGGCTAGAAAGGTACAGTATACTGAAAACATGCATTGGGTTGGGCATTTTAATAAAGTACTGTGTCTAATAATGAACTGAAATAGGTTGCCGTGGATGACCTCATATTGCCTTAAATGTCAGGAGTGAACTGATATTCTTGCGATAAGAATGTAATAGAACTACATAAGGGCGGGGGGGTTTGCTTAACTGTGTGTGTGTGTCTGCGTGTGTACACAGCCAAGGTCCAGGCCGGGAACACCTGCCTTCTGGATAGCTGTAAACGTGTGTAAATCAGGTCGTTCAAACAGCGGCCCGGTGTCTCCCTGAGTACTAAACCCCAGTACACCTCAGCAAACACCCGACACACTCCTCCTCCTCCACCCCTACTCTGTTCTGCGCCTTCCAACCCACCCACTACATTAATCCCCTCAAATGAAGCCTTTGTAAACACAGAGTGGGGAAACAAAAGAGGAATATAAAAACACGCAGGCAATAAGGAACAAGTCAAAACATAGCGTGTCGGCAGAAGACGAAAATTGGTTTGGAGCGTTGGGCTTGGAGGCCCATTTTCCCCTAATTTCTGCTGTAATTGACCTCTGAGAGGCGTAATGTCGGCTGATCGCCAGACATTTGCATTTTAGGGGAAGCGACAAACCTACAAAGCATTTCCATTCTGCCTGTAAGTAGAGGGAGCTGGATGTGAAATTAGTGTGTGGTAGTAGAGATGGGAATTGAGCCCTGCTGCGTGCGTGTGGTGGGGCTGAGGGTTGGCAGTAGGATTGGCCTACTCTGCTCTGTTCAATAAAAGGTGCATTAATACAAGCCTGACAGGAGGCTTCTTAACCCTTTCATTCTGCCGTGTTTGGTAGGCACACAACCCACAGGGAATGAGCCTCAGTCTTTATATTATGTTTCTTACATGGAATGAAATATTTCCCCATTTACTGGTCGTTATTGACATCATGGCACTACTATCAGTTCTTATCACAGAACAAGTTTGTAAAATGGGGTTTTCCCAGTCCAGGCTAGACATGTTAATAGGTAGAGCCCATCTGTATGGCTATGTGTCAAGGTCTAGAGGTGCTTTTGGAGGGTTTAATCATTAACTAAGCCACTGGGTTTTGAACCGCAGCAGAACTCAACTGTCACACTTTCCCTCTCTCTCCACAGGCATCCGTTACACAGATTAAACAATCCCTGTTTCTCTTCACTGATAAATTGAGGTGAAAAAAGAAACTGATGGTTTTGCACAGGGAGAGCAGGTGTTAGAGAGATGTTTAATGACAGGCTCACACTCAGCACACTAGAAGGCACATTTAATCCACAAGCAACAACTTTTCAGTAGGCTGAACAGCACTCTTATTAAATAGATGACTGCCATTGTGCAAGGCCAAGGTAATGCCACTGCAGGCTCGGTAGACAGACAGACAGAGATAGAGACAGAGAGAGAGAGAGAGAGAGAGACTGGACAATACCAGTTACATTGGCAGCCGGGTGGAGAGGATGTACCCTCCTTCATAGCCCCTCCTTTTTAGTGAAAAAACCCTGTCATGTTATATTTGTATAATATTGTATAATCAGAGTTTTTTTCAAGACTAGACAGACCAGTAAAAAGACAAAGAAATGGGGAAAAATATATATGGAGAATCTGAGTGGGACAGAGTAGACTAAAGAGAGAAGAACGCTAGATTTGGGAGGGATACTGCAGGGAGGGTGGATAGAGGGGACAGAGGAAGAAGGAGGGGATGGGGACGTAGTAAGAGGCACATTCTTATGTAAAGCAGGCGTGTGGCTGGGCTGTCCCTCCATTGTGTGGCGTGAGGACTCTTTCTCTGGCCAATTTGAACACGCTCCAGCGCCCAGCCAGCTCAGCACTGGCGGCCCGGCCCCATATTATATTTAGGCACAACAAAAGCTGGAGAATGCCACGCTGTCCCTCTGTGCCGGCCCCCTCATTTCTCCACAGCGCATTCCCCGGGAGCCCCCTTTCCTCCCCAGTCTCTCCCTCCCGGTCCTCTCCAGCCCCAGCCAACGTGTCACTTACGGAGCACGACAGACGTCAGTCCTTAATTAATCACATACACACGGCAGGAGCTCAAACATTATTTAATGACATGGAAAACATTCTAATAAGCTTGTCGTGCTGCCAAGGCGCAATATAAACCCGTGGGCAGAGGACACACATACACACACACACACATGCAGACACACACACACACATGCACACACACACACAACAAAACAATTTATTTACAGTTTTTCCCCCTTTCAATCTCTTTCCAACTCTCTCCCTCTCCTCTCCTGTCTTTGTTTTTTGCCGGCTCCTGTTTTATCCCTACTCAGCAGGCTGGGCTGGCTGGACTGGACCACAGCCTAACGTGAAGAGCAGCCAGCCAGCTAACCCGGCAGGCAGGGAGGCAGGGTGTGGCTAGATAGAGGAGAACCATGCTGGAGTGAGAGGAGACAACATGCCAAAACAGTGTGCAATCATCACCACCACCGGTTGGCAGGAGGAGACAGAGAGAGAGGTCTGGAGATATCCAGTTGACAGCTGAGCAGAGGCCTAGAAAACACAAGACTACACTGGCGTGAACCCATGACCCTTACCTATGCACAATATATTACTTCACCAGCTTCATCAACTTTCCTCACATTTACCTTAGCTAGTCCAGAACTAGTCAGAGGGGTAAAGGTAATGCATAAGCAATATGTCATCATCAGCAGGACCTATGTCAACACATGACAAGACATGACAATAAGCATGTGCTATGTACCAGCGACAGTGTATTGCATCATGCTGCTCCTGTATCGAAAGGACAATGCAACAAAGCTATGATGTCTGACTATAGCCCCATCTAGTGTTTTTTAATTTTTAGGTTTTTTAACCCACCTACACTCCCCCACATTTGAGGGACTAAACAATCTTTTTATATTAAAATTATTCAAATATTTTATACTGAAAAAATATACAAACGCAACATGCAACAATTTCAAAGATCTTACTGAGTTACAGTTCATTTAATGAAATCAGTCAAATTAAATAAATTCATTAGGACCTAAATCTATGGATTTCACATGACTGGGAATTCAGATATGCATCTGTTGGTCACAGATACCTTTAAAAAAAGGTAGGGGCTTGGATCAGAAAACCAGTCAGTATCTGGTGTGACCACCATTTGCCTCATGCAGCGCGACACATCTCCTTCGCATAGAGTTGATCAGTCTGTTGATTATGGCCTGTGGAATGTTGTTCCACTCCTCTTCAATGGCTGTGCGAAGTTGCTGGATATTGGTGGGAACTGGAACACGCTGTTGTACACGTCGATCCAGAACATCCCAAACATGCTCAATGGGTGACATCGCAGGCCATTGAAGAACTGGGACATTTTCAGCTTCCAGGAATTGTGTACAGATCCTTGCAACATGGGGCTGTTCATTATCTTGCTAAAACATGAGGTGATGGTGGCGGATGAATGGCACTACAATGGACCTCAGGATCTCATCACGGTATCTCTGTGCATTGAAATTGCCATCGATAAAATGCAATTCATTGTCCGTAGCTTATGCCTGCCCCTACCATAACCCCACAATGGGGAACTCTGTTCACAATGTTGACATCAGCAAACTGCTCGCCCAAACAACACCATACACGTGATTTGTGGTTTTGAGGCCGGTTGGACGTACTGACAAATTCTCTAAAACGACATTGGTAGAGAAATTAACATTCAATTCTCTGGCAACAGCTCTGGTGGACATTCCTGCAGTCAGCATGCCAATTGCACGCTCACTCAAAACTTGAGACATCTGTGGCATTGTGTTGTGTGACAAAACTGCACATTTTTGAGTGGCCTTTTATTGTCCCCGGCACAAGGTGCACCAGTGTAATGATCATGCTGTTTAAATCAGCTTCTTGATATGCCACACCTGTGAAGTGGATGGATTATCTTGGCAAAGGAGAAATGCTCACTAACAGGGATTTAAGCAAATTTGGCCACAGAACTTGAGAGAAATAAGCTTTATGTGCGTATTAAACATTTCTGTGTTATTTTATTTCAGTTCATGAAAAATGGGACCAACACTTTACATGTTGCGTTTATATATAAAAAATGTTGTTGCAAGGAGCCATCTTTTGGGGTATTTTTTCATTTTTGGGTATTATTATTATTTATTTCTTGTAGGCATGTAATACCATTGACAGCCGTTACAAATAACCATCCCACAATAGAGAAGTGGGAGATAAATGTTCATGGTCCCCCAGACTACCCACCACACCTCCCCAGAACACCCCACCCTCTTCAGGCCACTACCTCGGTGTAGTGGACACACAAAAGCAAACAAACAAGCAACTACCATAACAAACTACAAAAGGACATAAACAGTGAGGGAAAAAAGTATTTGATCCCCTGCTGATTTTGTACGTTTGCCCACTGACAAAGAAATGATCAGTCTATAATTTTAATGGTAGGTTTATTTGAACAGTGAGAGACAGAATAACAACAAAAAAATCCAGAAAAACGCATGTCAAAAATGTTATAAATTGATTTGCATTTTAATGAGGGAAATAAGTATTTGACCCCCTCTCAATCAGAAAGATTTCTGGCTCCCAGGTGTCTTTTATACAGGTAATGAGCTGAGATTAGGAGCACACTCTTAAAGGGAGTGCTCCTAATCTCAGCTTGTTACCTGTATAAAAGACACTTGTCCACAGAAGCAATCAATCAGATTCCAAACTCTCCACCATGGCCAAGACCAAAGAGCTCTCCAAGGATGTCAGGGACAAGATTGTAGACCTACACGAGGCTGGAATGGGCTACAAGACCATCGCCAAGCAGCTTGGTGAGAAGGTGACAACAGTTGATGCGATTATTCGCAAATGGAAGAAACACAAAAGAACTGTCAATCTCCCTCGGCCTGGGGCTCCATGCAAGATTTTGTGGAGTTGTAATGATCATGAGAACGGTGAGGAATCAGCCCAGAACTACACGGGAGGATCTTGTCAATGATCTCAAGGCAGCTGGGACCATAGTAACCAAGAAAACAATTGGTAACACACTACGCCGTGAAGGGCTGAAATCCTGCAGCGCCCGCAAAGTCCCCCTGCTCAAGAAAGCACATATACAGGGCCGTCTGAAGTTTGCTAATGAACATCTGAATGATTCAAAGGAGAACTGGGTGAAAGTGTTGTGGTCAGATGAGACCAAAATCGAGCTCTTTGGCATCAACTCAACTCACTGTGTTTAGAGTTGGAGGAATGCTGCCTATGACCCCAAGAACACCATCCCCACAGTCAAACATGGAGGTGGAAACATTATGCTTTGGGGGTGTTTTTCTGCTAAGGGGACAGGACAACTTCACCGCATCAAAGGGACGATGGACGGGGCCATGTACCGTCAAATCTTGGGTGAGAACCTCCTTCCCTTAGCCAGGGCATTGAAAAGGGGTCGTGGATGGGTATTCCAGCATGACAATGATCCAAAACACACGGCCAAGGCAACAAAGGAGTGGCTCAAGAAGAAGCACATTAAGGTCCTGGAGTGGCCTAGCCAGTCTCCAGACCTTAATCCCATAGAAAATCTGTGGAGGGAGCTGAAGGTTCGAGTTGCCAAACGTCAGCCTTAGTGACTTGGAGAAGATCTGCAAAGAGGAGTGGAACAAAATCCCTCCTGAGATGTGTGCAAACCTGGTGGCCAACTAGAAGAAACGTCTGACCTCTGTGATTGCCAACAAGGGTTTTGCCACCAAGTACTAAGTCATGTTTTGCAGAGGGGTCAAATACTTATTTCCCTCATTAAAATGCAAATCAATTTATAACATTTTTGACATGCGTTTTTCTGGATTTTTTTGTTGTTATTCTGTCTCTCACTGTTCAAATAAACCTACCATTACAATTATAGACTGATCATGTCTTTGTCAGTGGGCAAACATACAAAATCAGCAGGGGATCAAATACTTTTTTCCCTCACTGTACATACATAAAACATTTTGTTTTCATATGACTGCCGATCAGGAGCACCTTTCCTTCGTATATGAAATCAGGCCCATCCCTCTTGATGTGTTATTTGGTCCCACTTATCAGTAAATACTTGAGACCTCTCCACTTTCTTTTGCAATCAATCCTTGTAGTGTTTATGAGTGGAACTACAGCCACAGAACGCAACAGACCCAAGCTGTACTGTCAGAGCGGTCCCATTCTCTTGTGTTTGATAATGTCTCCCTCTTCTGGCCTTAGTTACAGGAATCTACAACTTGTTTCCACATACACAGTACAGGATACTTAGAATAGCACATGAAAACAGGAGAATTACAGCACAGTTTAGGTTTTAAAGAGGCAATGTTTCGACCCCTGTGGATCTTCGTCAGGCTTCCTCTTGGCCATACCTGTCTCACATGGACCCCTCATACTGAATAGATGTATTATTAACTGAAACCTGCTTAGGATAAAACTAAAAGTGTCTGGCAAAAATGTCCATGTGTTACCTGGTCCTCGCTGGTGAAGCCCTTGTGCATGACTTGGTAGAGATGGACCAGGAAGTCACTGTTGGGCAGCACGTCCTGGTTCTTAGTCATCATCTCACAGATGAGTTTATAGGCCTGCAGCTTCCCCGTCTTGAACTCTGCTGGCAGCATGGTGGCCTGGGGGGGAGAGGGAGAGAGGAGGACAGAGGGAGAGCCACATGCATGTCATTGATAGTTGGGTGATGTGTGTAGAGGCAGTGGACCTCTGAGCAGCTGACTCACCTTGAAGAGCCAGGAGGCCAGCATTCTGAGAGGAGGGATGAAGACAGGCCGGGGAGGAGACGACTGGTTATCCACACTGATGCCCAGGTTGTCCCGGATCTGCAATTAGTGCATTACCACATTAGCCTGATTGAAAATCTACAGAACAAAATATTGACTGAGATAAACTTACTGTAGATGACTGAATAGATGACATGTCATCTGGGCAGATGAGAGTGTTTGGAGGCTGGGCTTACCTTTGCCAATTTGTGCCACAGGTCGTAGAGGTAACTGAACACCTTGGCGTGGATCCTGGGGCAGCGGATGCTGTTGACATCCCCCAGGATACCCAGAATCCTCCTCCAGAGCACAAAGGCTGAGTCAGCGTGCCAGCCTGTCAGGCTCCCGCCTGCGATGATGCTGACATCATCAGTCAGACACTCACTGCTGTCTACAAGGCCAGAGAGGGCGAGAGAGAGAAGAGAGGAGAGCGAGAAGAGTGGAGAGCGAGAGAGAGTGAGAAAGAGAGAGAAAACTTTGATTTACTACTGTATAAACTCTATTGTATAACACTACAACTCTAGGCCTGTCCACACCCCAGACACTGAGGTGATTCAACACAGAGATTGACCAGTTACCAGAGTCACAAACGGCCAAACACAGATGAGTGTGTGGGCTGGGTATAGGATAAACAGTGCAACACAGAGGGTGGTGGGCTGGGCAGGCTAAAAGGGGGTGTGTAGGGGGGATAGTAGGGACAGTAGCAGTACCCAGGTCCTGAGGCATGTGTAACACAGACTGATGCATGGTGTCCTCCAGGAGCTGGGGGCACTCAGGATGCACGAGCAAAGCTGGCGAGGCGGGGGGGTGCTGGTGGTGTTGGTGCTGGGACAGGGGTGCAGAGTGGGGAGAGAGGGCACACTCAGGACCTAAAACAAGACAAGGGGACAACGAGGAGACAGCGGAGCTTGGGGGAGCACAGGGACAAGAGGACAGAGGCTGTGAATTCACAATTAATCAATTTAGGAGTACAGACAACACAGACAAGGTGGGGGTTACACTAAGGGTCAGGGGTTACAGCTGAGGTATTCTTACATTTCTTTCATTGGACAAGAATTGACAGCTAGCTATTAGCCATAGTGGTGTTCTCCAAATATTCAAATGTACTTCAAGGGAGCATTCACCCACTGAACCACAATAACATTTTGAGATACTTACCTAAGATTTAACTAACATTTCTTAATAGCAATGAGACTCTCACCTAACGTTGCCCAGTGAACATGTAAGTGGTAACCATTCCATCTTTATGTACCCATGAGGCGTTGACCTAATACAGTGGGGAAAAAAAGTATTTAGTCAGCCACCAATTGTGCAAGTTCTCCCACTTAAAAAGATGAGAGAGGCCTGTCATTTTCATCATAGGTACACGTCAACTATGACAGACAAATTGAGGAAAAAAAATCCAGAAAATCACATTGTAGGATTTTTAATGAATTTATTTGCAAATTAGGGTGGAAAATACGTATTTGGTCACCTACAAACAAGAAAGATTTCTGGCTCTCACAGACCTGTAACTTCTTATTTAAGAGGCTCCTCTGTCCTCCACTCGTTACCTGCATTAATGGCACCTGTTTGAACTTGTTATCAGTATAAAAGACACCTGTCCACAACCTCAAACAGTCACACTCCAAACTCCACTATGGCCAAGACCAAAGAGCTGTCAAAGGACACCAGAAACAAAATTGTAGACCTGCACCAGGCTGGGAAGACTGAATCTGCAATAGGTAAGCAGCTTGGTTTGAAGAAATCAACTGTGAGAGCAATTATTAGGAAATGGAAGACAAACAAGACCACCGATAATCTCCCTCGATCTTGGGCTCCACGCAAGATCTCACCCCGTGGGGTCAAAATGATCACAAGAACGGTGAGCAAAAATCCCAGAACCACACAGGGGGGCCTAGTGAATGACCTGCAGAGAGCTGGGACCAAAGTAACAAAGCCTACCATCAGTAACACACTACGCCGCCAGGGACTCAAATCCTGCAGTGCCAGACGTGTCCCCCTGCTTAAGCCAGTACATGTCCAGGCCCGTCTGAAGTTTGCTAGAGTGCATTTGGATGATCCAGAAGAGGATTGGGAGAATGTCATATGGTCAGATGAAACCAAAATATAACTTTTTGGTAAAAACTCAACTCGTCGTGTTTGGAGGACAAAGAATGCTGAGTTGCATCCAAAGAACACCATACCTACTGTGAAGCATGGGAGTGGAAACATCATGCTTTGGGGCTGTTTTTCTGCAAAGGGACCAGGACGACTGATCCGTGTAAAGGAAAGAATGAATGGGACCATATATCGTGAGATTTTGAGTGAAAACCTCCTTCCATCAGCAAGGGCATTGAAGATGAAACGTGGCTGGGTCTTTCAGCATGACAATGATCCCAAACACACCGCCCGGGCAACGAAGGAGTGGCTTCATAAGAAGCATTTCAAGGTCCTGGAGTGACCTAGCCAGTCTCCAGATCTCAACCCCATAGAAAATCTTTGGCGGGAGTTGAAAGTCCGTGTTGCCCAGCGACATCCCCAAAACTTCACTGCTCTAGAGGAGATCTGCATGGAGGAATGGGCCAAAATAACAGCAACAGTGTGTGAAAACCTTGTGAAGACTTACAGAAATCGTTTGACCTGTGTCATTGCCAACAAAGGGTATATAACAAAGTATTGAGAAACTTTTGTTATTGACCAATTACTTATTTTCCACCATAATTTGCAAATAAATTCATTAAAAATCCTACAATGTGATTTTCTTGATTTTTTTTCCTCATTTTGTCTGTCATAGTTGACGTGTACCTATGATGAAAATTACAGGCCTCTCTCATCTTTTTAAGTGGGAGAACTTGCACAATTGGTGACTGACTAAATACTTTTTTTCCCCACTGTACCTAACACAGCTAAAAAAACAAAGGGTCCAGCTGCCTGCTAAATAAAGACCCCTGAGCAGGTGGTAAAACCGGAACACGTCCAAGGCTAGATAGAGGTGCAGAGAAAGGGAGCGTTTTCTCTTTCTCCGAGGTGGTACAGAGCTTCAGTGGCCAGGGTGAGGGAGGGCAGGCAGGCAGGCAGGCAGGGAAGAAGATACAGTACTGTAGAGCAGATCACTTTCCCCCAGACAGAGGCTGGCTATGAAGGCTATTCTAATCCTCTGAAAGGTCAAGCTGCTCTGAGATAAATCCAATCACTACCCACGGGCAGACCCACACCTCAGGTGAACGTGACAACTTATACAACCTCACAGAATACCAATCTACTGGACCTGAGGGTACAGTGTTTATCCAATATAAACCAATCCCCTCCAAGCCTCCTTAACCACCATCAATCCCCCCCAGAAACCTTCCCCAGACCTGTAACCACCCCTGCACGCACCCCCTCCCACCCAACTCCCCTGTCCAGGCCAATCCAGTACAGTACCTGCCAGGGCCTCATTGTTGCTGAGCAGCAGGTTCCTCTGGCTCTCTGTGTCTGCTATGATGCCTATCTGTGCTGAATGGAAGTCTGCCTCCTCCTCAAACGCCTGCCAGGCCAGCAGGCTGCTGTCAGCGTTGTTCAGGTAGCCGTTGGACGTCTCGCTGCTCACACTCTCGCCTGAGGAGCGAAGGAGAGAGGGGTCAATGTTATGGTTTTGAGACAAAGTATGAGATGGTTGAAAGACGGTTGTATATTCTCACTTTTCTCCTGGAGCTGCGGCCTTGTGTAGGTGTTGTGTCCCTCTACAGGGTAGTCCAGCTCAGCCGGACTGCTGCTCCGCCGGATCAAAATCTAGGAGCACAGAGGGAGAAGTCATCAGTGGGTGTTTCAGAGATGCCTCTATCAGACTGCAACAGATGCCCTGCTGAAATACGAGGGTCATTGATTTTGCATCAGGTGTGTGACTCACCACTGGTGGGTCGCCGTCTCTCCTCCCTTCTGACGTCCTGCCATCGGAGCTACAGGAGTTGTTGGGAGAGTACGCTCTCTTCTGGCCTGGAAGTCACACAGTGCCTGTTAATCACACTGGACACACACACACATAGCAGACAGCAGTGTGTTGTGGTCATAAATACGGTTCTAGTCTCATCCCTACATCTCTAGATGCAGCATCAGAAATATGAGTTATAACCTGTAGGCTTCAAAGCACATAAATCACTGTATGGACGGATACATTGTTAGCATCAGTCTAAATAGCTCCACTAGGGCAGCTAAAATGCCCATTGTTAGAACATGCCCTCATGCTGTGTGTGTTCACGCACCCATTGTTGTATCCCTACCTGGGAAGGTGTCAGCCAGTTGCTGTGTGATGTCGGAGGTGCTGCTGCTGCGTGGTAGAGGGCTGTCACCAGCCTCCAGCTCTCCGTCTCCCCCACACTCTGACAGCTGGCCCTCCTCCACGTCTGAGCACCACGACCGGGGGGGAGGAGAGGACAGAGCGTTAGAGCAATGCATCAGGCAAGACTCATCTCATACACAACACACCTGGTCATTTCTACCACACAGTATTCTGACAACTTAAAATGATAAAATGGTTACATTGTTATAGCCACATAGTGAGATGGGAAAGGAACATACAGTTATGAACATTAAAACATACATTAGAACAGACTAGTATAGAATCTTCTTTAGACAGTCGTCCTTTTTACTTTCAATCCACTTCAAACCAAACTTCAGTAAGTAGCTGTGAGAAACAACAAGGGTTTCCACTCCACTTAGTGTTAATACAACAGTGAGGGACTGACAGGAGAATTGGAGACAGCAAATTAATAGTGACAGACAGGCTGACAGACAGACAGACAGACAGAAGAGACAGACAGGGTGAAGGTGGGAGGACACCACACAGACAGCTCTCAGAACACTTTACCTGAAAGCCTGTGAGAGCAAGAGTTACCAGAAGAGGAGGAGATACCAGGCAAGAAAGAGCTCACAGTGTGAAGCAGCATAGGAACGCTTTTAGTAGCGGGCAAAGCCTCGTAAAGAATGGACACAGTTGCTGATAGACTGGGCTTCGCTTAGCTTTCCATCACACCCAAGAAGAGAAGAGGAGAAAAGAGAGCGAGAGGAGAGAGAGAGAGGAGGGAGAGAGAAAGGAAGAGAGAGAGAAGAGGGGGCCCCCCTTGAGGGGAACGGGGAAAGGGGGGGAAAGGGGGGAAGAGACAAAGAGAACCACAGGCCAGATATAAAAGAAAAAACATAGAAGATAGAACAGAAAACCGAAGACAGAGAAAACAGAGAGAGGAGCCCGGAGGAGAGAGAAGACAGAGAAAAGAGAGAGAACGAGAAAAAACAGAAAGAAGAGACATATAGAGAGAAAACAAAACAGACCCGAAACAAGCCCCCCCCCAAACCCAAAAACCCAAAAAAGGGAAGGAGGGGAGAGAGAGAGACAGAGACCAAGAAGAAAAACAGAGAGAGAAAAGAGAGAGAGAGGCCCAGAGACAGGGCAGAGGGGAAAAGAGACAGAGAGAGAGCAGAACAGAGAGAAAAACAGAGAAAGACAGAGAGAGAGCCCGAGAGAGAACAAGAGAGAAGACAGGAGAGAAGGAGAGAGACAAGAGAGAGGAGAAGAGAGGAAGAGAGAGACAAAACCCAAACAGAAAAACAAGACAAGAGACAAAGACAAGCAAGAACAGAGCCCGAGCAGAGAGCCCAAAAACCAAGGGGAAAAGAGACAGAGAAGAGAAGAAGAGGAGAGAGAGGGGGAGAGAGAGGAGAGAAGAGAAGACAGAAAGGGGACAAGAGGGGAAGGGGAAGAGAAAAAGACAAAAGAGAAGGAGAGACGAGAGAGAAACAGAGACAAGAAAACAGAGAGAGAGAGAGGACGAGAGAGAGAGAAAGAAAATTAGCCCAAAAAAGACAGAGAGAAAAGAAAACAAGAACCGGGAGAGAGAAAACCGAGAAAAGAGAGAGAGAGACAAGAGAGAGAGAGAAAAACGAGAGAGAGAGGAAGACAGAAGAGAGAGAGAAAACAGAACAGAGCAGAGAGAGAGGGGACAGAGAAGAAAAGACAGGATGGGGAAAAAGGAAAAGAGACAAAGAGAGAGAAGGGGACAGAGGGGCCATAAAGAGAGAGAAAAGAAGGAAGGGGACAAGAGGGGCGGAGAGAGAAAACGAGAAAGAGAAAAAGAGAGAAGAAAAGAGAGGAGACAGAACGAGCCCAGAAGACGGGACACAGAAGAGAGACAGAGAGAGAGAGAGAGAGAGAGCGCGAGAGAGAGAGAGACAGAGAGAGCGCGAGAGAGAGAGAGACAGAGAGAGAGAGAGAGAGAGAGGAGAGAGAGAGAGAGAGAGAGAGAGAGAGAGGGAGAGAAGAGAGAAGTCAATAAAAGCATTCAACGCAGAATATCAGCAGGACACAACTGCTATTTTTTTTATATAATAATAATTGTACGAAAAAAACGAAGCGACGCAAAATACTACTAAAGAAGAGAAAATCCACTAAGGGCTGAATCCTAATTTGAGATCTGTGGGTGTAACTTGAATTGTCATTAATGTCAATTTGCTCGAAAATGTAAGAAAGTTTTACGTGTGCATCACAACTTCAGGCCTGTGAAGAAGAGTGAAACAACAGAGTGAAAGAACAGGCATAGTGAAGTTACTGAGACAGGAAATTAAGAACTAATAACAGACTTCAGTGTAAATAGAACCTAAATAGAATATGTTAAAGGGTAAATCTGAGGCTGGTTCTCATGTTAATTTGACACTTGAGGGCTCGTCACCTAAACAAAGACACACCGCTTTAAGAGGTTAGTTATTGCATAAAAATACACATTTTTTATTAAAAATCTTTAAAAATGTGTCCCTATCTACATTTGAGAGACGCAATTTAAATGCAATTAGTTCCTTTTGTTTGTAGACCAGTTTAATTAGTTCTCTATGCACATGACAGAAGAGGACAAATACAAATGGCTTTGAGCGCATCCCAGTAAAGGCAACTTACTTCCCTCCACATACAACTTTCTAATGTTATCTCCTTGAATACACTCTAACAAAAAGAAAAGCAAATGCAGCTAGATAGGGCTGGGACACTAGAGCATTTAAAGTAGATAGGGATACAATGAATGTACAGTATAGCACATATGACAGTATTGTACATTATTTCTATAATAAGAATAGGTACTGGTTTTGAATGAGTAATAGTCAGTCAATAGGGCAATATATTAATTAGTTCCCAGTATTTTCAATACCCTTTCGCAGGAAATGCTCATCAGAAAAACATCGGCAAGCACGTATTTGCATAAATGAGTATACACAAGTTTTCACAGTTTTCAAAGATAAGGCGTTGGAGTATTGTGTGTGGACAGCACTTCAGGCCTAATTTAAAGGAGAGAGGAGCATTGCAAGATAAGGATGATTCCATTCTCTGCTTAGACCACACTTTAATTACTCTTTCATTTGAAGATAGCATAGTTTCTGCTACAGACCGCTACTGTTACCCGTTTATGCATATTAACGAGCATTAATTACGCTCTTAATGAAACTATCAAAAACGGCCAGGGGATTGATGTGTGGGCTCTCTCTCAAGGAGAAGAGGGTGGAGGAGGAGGGATATCGGGATGTTTGAAGATCAATTTGGGAGAAATCCAATTAGACGAGAGAAAAGGAAGAATTTGAGGCGGTGGTGTTTCATGTCAGTCTCTGTCTGCATGCAGATATACGCACGTGTGTATTCTCTCTCTTTCTCACACACACACACACACACGCACGCGCAAACACACACACATACTGACGGGAAGCTTCTAAGAGTCCTTCAGGCTCAACTACATCTGCTCCAGGCTCAACAAGCTCTTCAGCGAGCAGAGATGGTATCAGTCATTACGGAGCGAGACAGAGAGAGAGAGACAGAGAGACCGACACAGAGAGAGAGAGACCGACACAGAGAGAGAGAGACAGAGAGACTGACACAGAGAGAGACAGACACAGAGAGAGAGCAAGAGAGTGAGTGAGTGAGTGAGTGAGTGAGAGACAGAGCGAGAGCATGGGGAAACAAGCGAGGAGCTTCACTCTTTTATCCTCCTACATTACGGAGTAGATAGTTAAGAGGAAGCACAACGCATCTCCACTCTGCTCTGGATAGCCTGAAAGCTAAACTGATAATTAGACTGAGAAATCTCCATCAGATAAGTGGATGTTGTTCACTGTATCTGGACTGAACAGATGTGTGTGTGTGCCACAGAAATGACACAGAAACATGTTGACATTGGCCAATGATCTGACAGGAAGAATGGAGACTATCTGCTGTCCCTTTGTGCTTAGTGTTGAGCCTTTCACCAGCACCTGGGCTAACACACACATGACATGACCTGCTTTAATATAGACTCATTGTGGAGTCTATAGAGAGTCTGGTCTACAGCTGGTGTGGGTGGCAACTCTATCAAACACTGGAGTGTCAGAGGGATTCAACAGATCTGTATTTGGCACTGGCAAAATTTAACTTCATTATAGTAGAATGTGTGTGTTCACCTGTGGCTTTCTGTCGGACATTGTTGCGGGCCTTCTCCACGCCGGGGGCCCCTGACGTGGTAGCGCTGCGGAACCTCATGGGCTCCTGGACCCCCTGCTGGTCTCCCTGGGTCCTCAAGCTCAGAGAGAAGGACCTGGCCACTGCTGCTGCCTTCTGGGAGTCCTGGACCACTCCTGAGTGACAGACAGAGAGAGAGACCGACACACAAATAATATAAATACAAAATAAAAAAGAGAAACTGAATCTTGAGTTCTACCATTGCTGCTTTATTATCTGAACTGAGGCTTATACTGCATTATCCCCCGCTATCCCTGCATAAATCCCTCCTTCACTCCCTCCCTCCCTCCCTCCCTCTCTCCCTCCATCCATCTCTCTCGCCCCCCGCCTCCTTACCCCGTCCCCTCTGTTTCTTCTCCTTCTGTTCGCTGAGTTTGTCCAGGGGCAGGTTGCTCATGTCCAGGCCGTAGACGGAGCGGGCTAGGACAGTGGTCAGAGAATCCATGATGCTAGCCCACTCTGTCAGCAGCTCCTCCCAGCCTGTCAGAGACGACAGCACAGACAGCAGCTCGTCCCACAGCTCCCGGGAGATGAACACACACAGGTTGGCCCGCACCCACGCCACGATGATCGTCTGGGGGAGGATATACATGGCCACACAAAACAGATCACATTAATCATCATGGCCAGACAGCTGGTTCTCATTGGCTTGGAATCCAAACACTAACAACTAACAAGCCATTATAGCTGTAACATTAATCTTACCCATAGGAGGCAGATTTGTACTGTTTAAAAAATAACATATTTGAGTTTTTCCCCAGTAATACTAGTAGCCCCTTACCAATTTTATGAAGTTGGCTTTAGCTAGCCCATATTGTTCCCAATCTCATAACTAGCTCCCAAGAAGCCATTTCATTATAGGCTATCAATCAAGTTAGAGTAGCTAGCTTGTCTAACTGTCTTAGCTGGCATGCCTGCTGGCAAGGTTGGTAGACTTTAGAAAAGCAAGCAATAACTAAATGAATAAGGCATCATGGGCAACAACCATTTCCAGTAGCTTAGTAGGACTTCCTCTAACAGAGGTATCAGAACAACTCTCTTAACAGTAAGAGAGGATATAGGAGCCATAGGACGATCCCCAGACAGACTGACCCTGAAGAGGATGGCAGCCAGGCTCTCAGCGAAGGGCTCTTTTCTTTGGTTCTCCTGAGGCCTCTTCATCACCGCCTCAGTGATCCTCAGCAGCACCTGTAGCATCTGCTGCCTACACACACACAGACACACACAGACACACACACCAGACACACACACCCCAGCGGGCATTAGTCCATCATGGTCCATCATTGTGTATCAGTAGATCAGTAGACAACACAGTGGGACTGTCCAGGTCTGTCTGGTAATACGGTCGTTCAGGTACAAGCAACAGCTTGGTTTAGAATGATTGCATTAAACCAGTGGGTGTACACAATACACAGTATATAGCTGTTGCACTGTTTAGTTTATATCAGTACGTGTATGAGGTGCTGACTGCTGTACCATGTCTGTGTGTTCATGGCTTGCTCCATGATCATGTGGCGGTAGATGCTCAGCACCCCCTTGCACACCTCCACCTGGTTGTCCAGTAGTTTGGGCACGTCCTGGCACGGCTCTAGCAGAAACACGTTGGCAGAGTTGGTCAGGAACACCTGGGGAAAGAGCAATGACATAAACTATGGTCAGGGTTGACGAGATACAAACACATTGCTGGCCACAGTAAGAGGTAAAAACAAAGAGGTTATAAAATACAGAAGACACACTCACACTCTCTCAAACACACACATGCACACGTACACACACGTACATACACGTACATACCTGCAGGGTGGGCTGGATGCCAGCCTTGATGTCTCTGTTCTGTTCCTCAGTGAGACAGCCACGGCTGATGGCACTGCTGAAGGAGTATGTTCTGCCCCAACTGGACGAACGCTTGTGACCATGACTCTCCAACATCTGCCGGAGGACAGGACCGTCCAGTCAGCACATGTGTATGAAAGTGAGTGTGCTTCTCAATGACAATTTCTGAGTTAATTTTAGTGTGTGTGTGTCCACTGACTTGTTGTGCTGTGTGTGTGTGTGTGTTTGTGTGTGTTTATCATTGACATTACCTGTGTGGGTGTGTTGTCAGTCTCAGTGATGAGCAGCTGCTCAGGGTTCTCCTCCACCTCAGCCTGTCTGCTCTTTTCTGGCTCTGTCATGAAGCCTGGCTTCTCCATCAGGATCCACTTCCTGTACACCTTGATCACCTTCCGGGTCGCTGACGCCTCACAGGAGGGCAACAGGAAGGCCTGGAGCAGGATGATACAGACAGTTATTACACAGTATTATACAAGAGAAAATAATGGCCAGATGTATTGGATAATGAATACATTTATTTTCAGGATCATGAGAGTAATAAGGTGTTTGTTAAATGGCATAAAGCAGATGTGGTTGCTAAAGACAAACGTTACAATTGTTTCTTTAATTTGCTCCAACTCTAAGATGATAGCTTTGATGTAGTGATAGTGTCTTTCCACTAGACAGCAGTACACTACAACTAATAACATAGCACATGGTCTCCTATTCAGCATCATGTTTAAAAGCTAGTGGAGTACAAGGGGAAATCAGCTTCACAACTAAAACTACCCTTGCAGAAGAAAAGCATTGTTTACACTTGGAAACTCTTCGCCATCATCTCTCTGCGGGCTGTACCTGGTGGAAGACCTCGTTGACGAAGTTGATGTTGTCCCGTGTGGAGAGCAGGATGCCGTGCACCATGTCATAGACGCTGCGGTGCTCCTCATCGATGCTGCACAGGCTAGAGTCACTGGACCGCCGGTCAGACAGCGTGCTACTGTTAGAGTGGCTCTTCTCTGGCTCCGTAGGGCCGTTGGGCTCCCCCTCACTACCGCCACGATCTTTATCCCTCTCCTTCTCCTGACTGCTACCGCCTGCAGTGACAGTCTGAACACACAGCACAGGCAGGGTTTGGACAGGGTACCAGTGAGAGGTAGAGAGGGTTTAGGGCTGGATTCCACTATAAATCATAAAGACTAACACAAACACAAAAGCAACTGTTGTTAGATTAAAATTATTCCAAACCTCTCCTTTGAATTGACCATCCAATCTTTTCTGCATGGTCTCAAACTGAACCTGGGTGACAGTACAGCGTATGACAGCAGACATACCTGGATGAGTTTGGGGATGACATCGTTCGTCCCGTTCTTGGCGCTGGGGGTGGCGGTGCTGATGTACTTCTTCTCCAGGAAGAAGGTGACCAGCCAGGTGATGAAGGCAACGCGGGGAGCTAGGTACTGGTCCCTCGTACAGAACGTGCTCTCGTGGTTACGGGTCACCGGGACATACAGAGGCTTCGGTCTGTGGTGAGGGAGGTCTGGGGAAGAGGAGAGAAGGAGGAGAGAGATAAACAAGGAGATAGAGAGATAGAGAGAGAGAGAGAGAGAATTATTCCAAACCATTATTCCAAACCATATTAGAGACACATATTTGCCTTAGATTACACAGACCCACAAATAATTGTGAGAGACAGAGAGAGACAGAAACAAGGGAGAGAGAGAGGGTTTAGAAAGGGAGGGGGAGATAAAAGGAGAGCGTTAGAGACAGAAAGTGGAGGGATAATTTCACAAGATTCAAAAGTACTGCTCTCTTAGGTTTCAATGTCAGCTAAGACTGGCCATCATATGAAAATATGTAATTCAGCACACAAAGTCATTGACCTGAGCGAACCCTGATAACTACAGTGAACCACAGCCTCATGGACCAGGTTATTGTTTCAAAGGATTTAAATTACTATAATTCATCAAGAAACCCCTTTTAAACATGGGATCAATACCTTTGAATTAACTGGCAATTAGCACAAAAAAAATATGTAATTCACCCTTAGAACGAGAGTACATCATTACAACAGGGGAAATGGAGAAAAGCTTCAGGTTCATGACAATACATCTAAATTGCCTGGCCTCAGGAATATGTGTGCATTTACTGTAGTAAGTTTTGGATTTGGTAAAGGCCTGTTGCTGCACACACCTACCTAAAAGCGGCTTGTAGAGGTTGGTGAGCTTGGTGAAGGAGGGGAAGAGGTGGGGAAGGTAGTACTTCTTGAACAGACTGAAGAGAAACCTGAAGCCAGTGTCCTGGTTGTCTTTGTTCCTCCACTCTAAACTGGACGCCTTTCAGACACACAGAGACACACAGAGTCACTACACAGCCAGACAAGAGCCCCATACAAGCTTTGTACTGGATCCCTTACTTTGTTTTCCAGTAAAGACCTAATTTGATTGGATCATGCATTTTCAAAGTATTCAACCAAGGCCACATTGTCTAGTTGTCTAGATAGGACTGTCTTGTAGCAGGAGCCTCACCTGAACAACCATGAACTTGAGCAGGGTTTGGAGGATATAGCAGGTCTGGTCGTCTGCCAGCTTCTCCCCTGGCACAGCTGGCACCAGTGGGGTGATTTCCTCAGGCACCACCTTGGCTGTTGTGGCGCAGAGAGAAAGAGAGAGAGGGAAAGAGAGAGAGAGGTACACACTGATGAACACTATGAACACTATATTATTAATAAAGAAGGACCACACACTGTTGAAGCTCCCAATTTACCGCTTTATTGACAACGTTTCGATCCGAAACGGATCTTCGTCAGGTCAAATAAACAAACTGAGTGCTGACATCCCAAAATATACACATTTCACCTCACATGACAAAACTTTCTGAGGAGTGAGGACAACCTTCATCTCACCTCAGCAGCCTATTTCATGAAATAATCAGTGTAATTCCCCAGGACCCAGACAATTACAGTCAACTGTAATTGTGTGGGGGGGGGGGGGGGGAGGTTGACGTTGAGGGGTCTCACAATCGGGTGGGTTGGAGAAAGGGTTGTAGATGATGGTATCCAGGGTGCAGGGTCCTCTGGTGGAGGGCACGGCAGGGAAGCCTGGCACCAGGCAGGCGAAGATGAGGAACTGCTCCTCTGCACAGTTATTCTGCAGGGCCTGCAGCCACAGCAACAACAGACGGATGCCCTCACATCTGATCTACAGGCAGGAGGACAGGGGAAAGGTTACTGTACACAGGACTGGATCAGACTGCTCTGTCTCCTTCACAGTAATGTGTGACAAACATTTAAGGGATTGTGTGAGAAAATGCACAACAATTCTTACCTTGAATGAGTTTCCAGTGTGCAAAAGCTTTTTCAGAATAGAACCTGAAACAGAAAGCGAGCGAGCATGAACAACAGAACAATCCTGACACCAACAGAACAGATATATCTTCCATTTGATGTGTACTACAGATACTAGACACTGCTCTGCACATTGAACATCCACATCAATGGGGCTGTAGTGGAGCGGGTCGAAATATTCAAGTTCCTCGGTGTCCACATCACTAAGGATCTATCATGGTCCACACACCAACACAGTCGTGAAGAATGAACGACAACACCTCTCTCCCCAGGAGGCTGAAAAGATTTGGCATGGGCCCTCAGATCCTCAAAAAGTTCTACAGATGCACCATTGAGCGTATCTTGACTGGCTGCATCACCGCTTGGTACGGCAACTGCATGGCAACCAACCGCAAGGCGCTACACAGGGTGGTGAGTAAGGCCCAGTACATCACTGGGGCCGAGCTCCCTGCCATCTAGGACCTCTATACCAGAGCAGGACCCTACGCTGACCTTTTTTTACAAGGAGCACGTGTGCGCCTAAGTTGAAGTATTTAGGAGCACACAAAGAAATGTATTTGAGGCAACTAGGCGTTTTCTTTGTAGCAATGGTGCAAGCATGACGGTCATGAATCTGAGCTCAGTGTATTCTCCATGGTACTCAGGGGCAATCATCATCTTGGTGATTTTTTTCTAGGCGCACTGATGCTCTTAATTAAAATTAGAGACCGCACAGCAAAATATTTAGGCGCATATGCGAGTAAAATGGTTGCACTGTAGAGCCCTGAGGCGGTGTCAGAAGAAGACCCCAAAAATTGTCAAAGACTCCAGCCACCCAATTCATAGACTGTTCTCTCTGCCACCGCACGGCAAGCTGTACCAGTGCACCAAGTCTGGAACCAACAGGACCCTGAACAGTTTCTACCACCAAGCCATAAGACTGCTGAATAGCTAATCAAATGGCTACCTGGACTACCTGCATTGACCCTTTTTTGCACTAACTCTCTTGCACTGACTCTATGCACACACACTGGACTCTACACACACACACACACACACACACACTCACAAATACTTACACCCCAACACACAAACACACAAACACACATAGGCCCACACACACAACACGCGCACACATGCATACTGCCTCCATTCACACACAATGCTAATACTGTCTATTATCTATCCTGTTGCCTAGTAACTTTACCCCTACTATATGTACAGAGCTACCTCAATTACCTCGTACTCCTGCACATCGACTCGGTACTGGTACTCCCTGTATATAGCCATGTTAGTACCTGGTACTCCCTGTGTATAGCCATGTTATTACCTGGTACTCCCTGTATATAGCCATGTTATTACCTGGTACTTCCTGTATATAGCCATGTTATTACCTGGTAGTTCCTGTATATAGCCATGTTATTACCTGGTAGTTCCTGTATATAGCCATGTTATTACCTGGTACTTCCTGTATATAGCCATGTTATTACCTGGTACTTCCTGTATATAGCCATGTTATTTTTACTCGTTATTGTTATTCACTGTGTACGTATTACTCATGTCACTATTTCTATTTTTTATTTATTTTTATCTTTAACTCTGCATTATTGGAAAAGGACCCGTAACTAAGCATTTCACTGTTAGTCTACACCTGTTGTTTATGAAGCATGTGACAAATACAATTTGATTTGAGCTACACTTAACACAGAGAAGAAAGTCTGTCTGTTCCATCAATACATATTGACCTTGGGGGTGGTGATAAACCAGTCAGGGAGGGAAGGCTGCTCATTCTCCTGATGAAAATGAACATCAATTGCCTGGTGTGCATTTATGAAGCCAATCAGGTCTGTGGTAATCAAATGAGACAATACTCTGATTGCTAAATGCCTGGTTCTCCGCTCATCAGGTTAAATCAATGACGTTCCCTGTGTTGGCTAAATGAATAAAGAAAGAAATTGCTTCCCAATCCCAACTTCTAGGCTCCAAGAGATTGGAAATGAGAGGGAAGGAGAGACGGAGTGAGGAAGACTGAGCGAGATCAATTTTCCACCAGGTAATGGTCTGTGTAAATGCTTGTTTCACTAGCGGAGGGATCACAAAAACACACCACTGGGGCCTGTCTTACTGGATCTGACTGTAGGAGTTCCACAGCTCCCGGCCCTCCTTGCTAATTCTAAGCATTGTCATCTACCCACTTTGGGCAGTAGGGTCAATAGTAGGCAGTTATCTAGGTGAGAGGTGACTCCTTAAAGTGAATAGGCAACAGGATAGTTCATTAACAGTAGCAGCAGCATGTGATGAGTCCATAAAGTTAGTGCAGAAATGCAGATAATCCAGGTAGCTATTTGGTTAACTATTTAACTAACTATTCAGCAGTCTTATGGCTTGGGGGTAGAGCTGTTCAGGGTCCTGTTGGTTCCAGACTTGGTGCACCGGTACTGCTTGCCATGCGGTAGCAGATAAAACAGTCTATGACTTGAATGGCTGGAGTCTTTGACAATTTTTAGGGCCTTCCTCCACAAAGAAGTTACTGCAAACAACAAACACAGTTTTTTTTCCCCCTCAGACATCATTGCACACATGATAGAAAAGCAGAATATGTACTGCAAATTTTTTTTACCACATTGCTCACCTCCATTTGGATGCTCCTCACCTCCGTTTAGTCAGGAAAACAAAAACACTAACAAATGCGCCTGGGGCGAACAGTGGTGCTGTTTCACCTTTCAAGCATTCTATTCAAACACCCACACAACCCAGCAGACCATCTCACAGAATAGCATCAGCTGAATTATGATGTGTGCTGCAAGCAGCAGGGGGACGTTCCTAAAAGGGTGAGGCTAGGGAAGGAGACAGGTTTTAGCTGGTGATTTGTGGACCGGGGAGCAGGGTGCGTGTTTGGGGGATGCCGAGGGGGGATGAGCCTCCATATTTGGAGTAATAAGCCCCAGGGGTGATCAGCGGCTGCAATCTCTACCTCACCGCTTTAGCATAGAAAGGACTGAAAACAGAAGATTATAATTGAGGTTATCGCTGTTTACGAGGGTCCTCCTGCTCGCGAGGCTGAAACCGAGCGAAGCATAATTCAATTACCAATTTGCATCTCAAATTAGGCTCTCATTTGCATTTTTCATTTACTTCTCCTTCCACAACTAATTATTTTCTTCTTACACAAACCGTTTAAGCGTGGTTGTGCTGATAATCTGTGCTTCCATGGTTTATTTTGGTGGTTGTAGCAGCAGGAGGGGAGGGAACAGGATTTTGACTACTGTACCCATGCAGAAGAATGCAAACATTGCCAGTGTAGGCCGATTCAAGGAAGCTAAAGTACTCCAAGTACAAACTTAGAAATTCAGTGGTACATACCTATACTGTGGAACTGCCATCGACTGTAGATTTTTTCTGGTAGAAGTTGCAGAATTTTCTGGAAAATATGAGAAATAATGTGTAAGTATTTGCAAAATCTCCAAACAGACCAATCACTTATGGCAAAACAGTCACAGAGACAGAGCAAAGAAACCTGATCACAAAGGTAGAGGAAAGAACATTTACTCGATAATCTTTAAACAACTCAATGTGGTGCTTCGATCCAAAACTGTGAAACAATGATGTTCACACACCACACGCCTGGCTTTGTTGACAAGTTGCTCAGCCATACATCCTAAACGCAGCCCAGATGCATAGCAGCCTCGTCAGTCAGTCAGTAGTCACAACTCAATTAGAGCGTGCTGACCTTTCAGTAGGCTATCATTATTCCTCCACTGAGGGACGGGTTAACTTGGGGATGGAAAAGAGCCAGGGGGGATGGATGGATGAGAGGGATAGGGGGAGAGAGGGATGAGAAGAGAGGACTCCGCTGTGTGTGGCGGCCTGTCAGATAATGGCCAGTGCATTGTGGGTAATTGATGAACCACTTGGTTCACCACTCATCATCGACTCAATAAGACAAATACCATTTCCAATTTAGAGATCTAAAGCCCAGTGCACAGTGCTCCTTTGCGTGAGAGATAGAGATAGAAGAGAAGAGAGAGAGAAGAGAGCCGAGAGAAGAGCGCAAGAGGAGAGTGCGAGAGAGAGCTCTGAAGATTAAGTCCTCACCAGCACGTGAGCTGAATTTGCAGAAAGGAAGAGTCCATACTTGCAGAGCACGTCTCCACAGCCGGAGAGAGAGAGACCAGAGACTGGATCAGTGGCCAAGAGGAGAGCAGCCACACCACATTATGCTGAGACTTAGTGGCTTCCAAAACTCATCTCACGTTTGGAGTACAGCACATCTGTTTGTCAACAACCCCCCCCCCCCCCCTCTGTATTTCTCCCCTCCTTTTCCTTCTCTTTCTCCTCCTCCACTCTGTCTCTCTCGCTCTCTATTCTTCCTCACCTTCCCCTCTCTGTATGTCGCTGTCTCAATCCCTCTCAGTGATTGAAACAGAAATCTGACAAGACAGCCATCACTCCTGGTGCTTGCCTGTGGGACTGTGTGTCCCGGTTTCCTGGTTGACTCCTCTCTGATCCCGAGCATGATGACACGTGTCCCTCTCTATTGATGCCGGCTGGGATTAGACATCCCCAGCTCCCAGCACGGACACACTCCTTGGAGCAGCAGACACATTATTTTAGGTGGTAACTCAGTAGAGGCCAGTCTAAGCCTGTGTGGTTTACAGGGAGGGAGGGTGTGTGTGTGTGTAGTGGGTGTAATAACACCCACCCTTCTTCCAGGGATAAGCAGGGAATGAGGCACAGAAGCAAGGAGACTCCCTGTGGTGGTGGGAATGGCAGCCGCAACAATGATACTTTACTGGTTGATATGAAGCGCTGTGAGACTGACAAAGGGGCTGAGCGAAGTGGGCCGACGGAGTCACAGTACTCTAATCTGGAGCTGTACTCCAGGCATAAAGATGGGGCATTACTGAGGGACACCTCCAACTCCAACCACATTTACATGATCCACACTTAGGTTTCCAGCCACAGGGTGAACATGACACTTCTACCAGAGGTGGCCCACAAGAGCTTTCCAGCATTCACAGACACCCTCAGGAGAACATTGCAGACTATCATTGTGCCACTGATTGAAGCTTCACTTGACACAACAATGAGGGGGGGGGGGGGGGGGGAAGAAAATAGTAAACTTTCTCAAACCAGCCATATAAGACAGAGACATAGGTTTTTACAGGGCAGTCAGTCACAGTGGAGTTTATGAGTAAACGGCATGGCAGGCATGTGAACATCACAGCCCAGAGAGTACAAGCAGGTGACTAGAGGGCAAATCAAAGTTCACTGTTAATAACTAAACTGTTTTGACCCATATCAATCATAACACGTGAACTTGTGTTGTAAAATATTGGATTAACTTAATTAGCAGGACAAAAACTAGAACTAAACTAAATGAAATAACGAGACAGTAAAATGTCCAGTCAGTCACACAGTGGATGTCTCCAAGCCAACCCCAAAGTGTAAACAACAGTGGATTACATGGCCACCAAATCAACAGCCCTGTTTGTAGAACTAGATAGAGCTCAACTGATGATAATATAGCCTATAGCCAATCAAATAGTAGTCTGGTTTTAGGCCTATTGGTTAGCCTAAGTAGCCAAACAAAGGGAGTTATTTTTGTATCTACATTTGGTTTTAACAAGTTTATTAGACGTGCAATTTAGCACATACTGTATTATTGAGACATTTAACAAATGTGTTCATTCTACTCTCTAACTAGTAGCTGGCAACAACACAATACACTGCAGCTCTTCCTCAAGCTAATGATTACGAATCTGATCAGATTCACATATTTTTTTAATTTTTTTATCCCCTCCACATAGGCTATTTCTCTTTACTCCAAGTTAAAGTCAAACTAACCTGAATTACATTTCATAGAATATCTTTTAAAAATCCAGTGACTGTTGCCCAATAGATACATTTGGACAAAAATAGCAACCTACAAAATGTAGGCCTAAGCCTTCCTCTATACAGCAATGGATCACATGACAAATTAGGCCTAGTCTACAGTCGTGGACAAATGTTTTGAGAATGACACAAGTATTGGTCTTCACAAAGTTCGCTGCTTCACTGTTTTTAGATATTTTTGTCAGATGTTACTATGGTATACTGAAGTATAATACATTCCCTGTGCACAGTGCTCCTTTGCGAGAGAGATAGAGATAGAAGAGAAGAGAGAGAAAGAGAAGAGAGAGAGAGAGAAGAGCCGAGAGAAGAGCGCAAGAGGAGAGTGCAAGAGAGAGCTCTGAAGATCCATAAGTGTCAAAGGCTTTTATTGACATTTACATAAAGTTTGTGCAAAGAGTCAATATTTGCAGTGTTGACCCTTCTTTTTCAAGACCTCTGCAATCCGCCCTGGCATGCTGTCAATTAACTTCTGGGCCACATCCTGACTGAGGGCAGCCCATTCTTGTATAATCAATGCTTGGAGTTTGTCAGAATTTGTGGGTTTTTGTTTGTCCACCCGTCTCTTGAGGATTGACCACAAGTTCTCAATGGGATTAAGGTCTGGGGAGTTTCCTGGCTATGGACCCAAAATTTCGATGTTTTGTTCCCCGAGCCACTTAGTTATCACTTTTGCCTTATGGCAAGGTGCTCCATCATGCTGGAAAAGGCATTGGTCGTCACGAAACTGTTCTTGGATGGTTGGGAGAAGTTGCTCTCGGAGGATGTGTTGGTACCATTCTTTATTCATGGCTGTGTTCTTAGGCACAATTGTGAGTGAGCCCACTCCCTTGGGTGAGAAGCAACCCCACACATGAATGGTCTCAGGATGCTTTACTGTTGGCATGACACAGGACTGATGGTAGCGCTCACCTTGTCTTCTCCGGACAAGGTGTTTTCCTGATGCACCAAACAATCGGAAAGGGGATTCATCAGAGAAAATGACTTTACCCCAGTCCTCAGCAGTCCAATACCTGTACCTTTTGCAGAATATCAGTCTGTACCTGATGTTTTTCCTGGAGAGAAGTGGACTTCTTTGCTGCCCTTCTTGACACAAGGCCATCCTCCAAAAGTCTTCGCCTCACTGTGCGTGCAGATGCACTCACACCTACCTGCTGCCATTCCTGAGCAAGCTCTGCACTGGTGGTGCCCCGATCCCACAGCTAAATCAACTTTAGGAGATGGTCCTGGCGCTTGCTGGACTTTCCTGGGCGCCCTGATTCCTTTTTCAAAACAATTGAACCCCTCTCCTTGAAGTTCTTGATGATCCGATAAATGGTTGATTTAGGTGCAATTTTACTAGGAACAATATCCTTGCCTGTGAAGCCCTTTTTGTGCAAAGCAATGATGACGGCACGTGTTTCCTTGCAGGTAACCATGGTTAAGAGGAAGAACAATGATTTCAAGCACCACCCTCCTTTTAAAGCTTCCAGTCTGTTATTCTAACTCAATCAGCATGACAGAGTGATCTCCAGCCTTGTCCTCGTCAACACTCTCACCTGTGTTAACGAGAGAATCACTGACATGATGGCAGCTGGTCCTTTTGTGACAGGGCTAAAATGCAGTGGAAATGTTTTTTGGGATTAAGTTCATTTTCATGGCAAAGAGGGACTTTGCAATTAATTGCAATTCATCTGATCACTCTTCATGACATTCTGGAGTATATGCAAATTGTCATCATCAAAAACTGAGGCAGCAGACTTTGTGAAAATTTGTATTTGTGTCATTCTCAAAACTTTTGACCACGACTGTACACTGCCAACCTACATAGTGAGTAGAGTAGGCCTAAATTACCATAACATTTACACGAACAGTCTCCTGCAGAAGATCTGTCAATCCTAATCCAAACAGGAGGGGACGAAAACAACATAACGTATGTACAGTACATGTTCATTGTCCTGAAGCATTTAGTAGATAACAAGCTAATAAAAAGCATTAAGCTATTCCAACTTTGATGTGCACCAAGGGGGAGCTGAGGCCATTAGCCCAAAGACAGAGGCCGAGGAGAGGTACTGATGGGCAGCATGATACAGGTTGACATTATTTTATTAATTACCTACTTGGACAATTTACATACCCAGCACTTTAATGGTCTGGCTCTGCACTGAACACTTAAACTGACATCAATCACGGCCAATCGTACTGCCCTGTGAGTGATGGCTAAGACTAGCAAATATTGAGAGCCAAGCGCTGTCCTGTCCTCAACCCTCCCCTCTCCTCCATGGCTTCTTTCCTTCATAACATGATTACTGTCCTGTCTCACTAGTACAGCACTGACTGGAGTGTAGACTTCCCTACTCATAACATTTACATTTACATAATTTAGCAGACGCTCTTATCCAGAGCGACTTACAAATTGGTGTATTCAACTTATGATAGCCAGTGGGACAACCACCCTTTTTTTAAAATTTATTTTTTTATGGGGGGGTGGGGGGGGGGGGGGGGGTTAGAAGGATTAATTTATACTATTCCAGGTATTCCTTAAAGAGGTAGGGTTTCAAGTGTCTCCGGAAGGTGATCAGTGACTCCGCTGTCCTGGCGTCGTGGGGGAGCTTGTTCCACCATTGGGGTGCCAGAGCAGCAAATAGCTTTGACTGGGCTGAGCGGGAACTGTGCTTCCGTAGAGGTAGGGGAGCTAGCAGGCCAGAGGTGGATGAACGTAGTGCCCTGGGTGTAGGGTCTGATCAGAGCCTGAAGGTAAGGAGGTGCCGTTCCCCTCACAGCTCTGTAGGCAAGCACCATGGTCTTGTAGTAGATGCGTAAGTCTTAAGGGTCTACACACACAGTCCAGGGCTAGTGCAGTAAGAAAAGCATTGAGTCAGTCCCCTGATGTGAATATTCAGTGGACTGACACAAACATAGTGAAGAAAAACAACACCAATGTAGCTCACAGAGCTGGACGTTTCTGACTACGCTCCTTTACCCAAAGGAATATTGCCATAGGGTGTTGCATCCAAATAAGGTTTATCAATCACTTCAGTTCTGAGCACCACCTTATTGAAGAATGTATTCTGGACATAGACAGTGGCTTTCCCAGTCTGGACGTCAGAGCAGGCCTGAACTCAGAGTGGTGAGTCTGGGGCTGGATGACAGATGGCTGGGGATGGCTGGGCCAGAATCAGGTTGCAGCCCAGAGACTCAGACTGGGGAAGCAGACACACACACTTTGCTATAAGGTCCCCTAGTCACAGAACCACAGGTCCACTGCCAGTCCCATAACCTCTAACCTGGTCACAGGGCCACAGCCAGTCCTATAACCTCTAACCTGGTCACAGGGCCACAGCCAGTCCCATAACCTCTAACCTGGTCACAGGGCCACAGCCAGTCCTATAACCTCTAACCTGGTCACAGGGCCACAGCCAGTCCCATAACCCCTAGGACAGCCTAAACCCATTCCTGACTCATTTGCCTACTTTGCCTCCATTTCCTGAAATGTTCCAGTGAATTTTTGGGCTGGATCTCAACTCATGTTGGTTGGTGTGCTGTCCACTGACCTGTCACCAGTGCCATGAGGGAGGGTAAATAACCATAGGTCAGTGGGTCTGGGACTCATGCTATGTGACCACAGAGCTCTGGTCTTGTGACAATAATGACGACAGAGGTCTAGAGTGTTTTTATAGAACTTCCACCTACACACATGTCCCACGGGGGGCCAGTATGAAAAATGTATGCACTCACTAATTGTAAGTCGCTCTGGATAAGAGCGTCTGCTAAATGACAAAAAAAAAGAAGACATACTGTAATGAGTGCCACTCTTCTACAGCGTTTCTCGACTGTTGCTTCCCCACCTACTCACATTTGCTGTAATTTGTATTTGTATTTAAGGCAGCAGCAACTCTTCCTGGGGTCCAGCAAAAATAAGGCAGTTATACAATTTAAAAAAAACATTACAATACATTCACATCAGATTTCATAACACATTAAGTGTGTGCCCTCATGCCTCTACTCTACTACCACATATCTACAACACAAAATCCATGTGTACGTGTGTGTATAGTGCGTATGTTATCGTGAGTGTGTATGCATGTGTCTGTGCCTATGTTTGTGTTGTTTCACAGTCCCCACTGTTCCATAAGGTTTATTTTTATCGTTTTAAAAAAATCTAATTTTACTGCTTGCATGAGTTACTTGATGTGGAATAGAGTTCCATGTAGTCATGGCTCTATGTAGTACTGTGAGCCTCCCATAGTCTGTTCTGGACTTTGGGACTGTGAAGAGACCTCTGGTGTTATGTCTTGTGGGGTATGCATGGGTGTCTGAGCTGTGTGCCAGTAGTTCAAACAGACAGCTTGGTGAATTCAACATGTCAATACCTCTCACAAATACAGGTAGTGATGAAGTCAATCTCCCCTCCACTTTGAGCCAGGAGAGATTGACATGCATATTATTAATGTTAGCTCTCTGTGTACATCCAATGGCCAGCCGTGCTCCCCTCTTTGTGGCACCTGACCACACGACTGAACAGTAGTCCAGGTGCGACAAAACTAGGGCCTGTACAACCTGCCTTGTTGATAGAGCTGTTAAGAAGGCAGAGCAGCACTTTATTATAGACAGACTTCTCCCCATCTTAGCTACTATTGTATCAATATGTTTTGACCATGACAGTTTACAATCCAGGGTTACTCCAAGCAGTTTAGTCACCTCAACTTGCTAAATTTCCACATTATTCATTACAAGGTTGTGGTTTAGGTTTAGGGTTTAGTGAATAATTTGTCCCACATAGAATGCTTTTAGTTTTTTTAAATCATTTAGGACTAACTTATTCCTTGCCACCCATTCTGAAACTAACTGCAGCCCTTTGTTAAGTGTTGCAGTCATTTCAGTCGCTGTAGTAGCTGACGTGTATAGTGTTGAGTCATCCGCATACATAGACACACTGGCTTTACTCAAAGCCAGTGGCATGTGGTTAATACATTTTGATTTTTTTTTATTAATGTATGAAATGCTTACTTACAAGCCCTTAACCAAAAATGCAGTAAAAAGTGTTAAGTAAAAAATAGATAAGTAAAAAATACAAAATAATTAAAGAACAGCAGTAAAATAAAATGACAGTAGGGAGGCTACAGTGAGGGGAAAAAGTATTTGATCCCCTGCTGATTTTGTAAGTTTGCCCACTGACAAAGAAATGATAAGTCTATAATTTTAATGGTATGTTTATTTGAACAGTGAGAGACAGAATAACAACAACAAAATCCAGAAAAACGCATGTCAAAAATGTTATAAATTGATTTGCATTTTAATGAGGGAAATAAGTATTTGACCCCCTCTCAATCAGAAAGATTTCTGGCTCCCAGGTGTCTTTTATACAGGTAACAAGCTGAGATTAGGAGCACACTCTTAAAGGGGGTGCTCCTACTCTCAGCTTGTTACCTGTATAAAAGACACCTGTCCACAGAAGCAATTTATCAATCAGATTCCAAACTCTCCACCATGGCCAAGACCAAAGAGCTCTCCAAGGATGTCAGGGACAAGATTGTAGACCTACACAAGGCTGGAATGGGCTACAAGACCATCGCCAAGCAGCTTGGTGAGAAGGTGACAACAGTTGGTGCGATTATTCGCAAATGGAAGAAACACAAAATAACTGTCAATCTCCCTCGGCCTGGGGCTCCATGCAAGATCTCACCTCATGGAGTTGCAATGATCATGAGAACGGTGAGGAATCAGCCCAGAACTACACGGGAGGATCTTGTCAATGATCTCAATGCAGTTTGGACCATAGTCACCAAGAAAACAATTGGTAACACACTACGCCGACAAGGACTGAAATCCTGCAGCGCCCGCAAGGTCCACATGCTCAAGAAAGCACATATACAGGCCCATCTGAAGTTTGCCAATGAACATCTGAATGATTCAGAGGAGAACTGGGTGAAAGTGTTGTGGTCAGATGAGACCAAAATCGAGCTCTTTGGCATCAACTCAACTCACCTGTGTTTGGAGGAGGAGGAATGCTGCCTATGACACCAAGAACACCATCCCCACCGTCAAACATGGAGGTGGAAACATTATGCTTTGGAGGGGGGTTTCTGCTAAAGGGACAGGACAACTTCACCGCATCAAAGGGACGATGGATGGGGCCATGTACCGTCAAATCTTGGGTGAGAACCTCCTTCCCTCAGCCAGGGCATTGAAAATGGGTCGTGGATGGGTATTCCAGCATGACAATGACCCAAAACACACGGCCAAGGCAACAAAGGAGTGGCTCAAGAAGAAGCACATTAAGATCCTGGAGTGGCCTAGCCAGTCTCCAGACCTTAATCCCATAGAAAATCTGTGGAGGGAGCTGAAGGTTCGAGTTGCCAAACGTCAGCCTTGAAACGTTAATGACTTGGAGAAGATCTGCAAAGAGGAGTGGAACAAAATCCCTCCTGAGATGTGTACAAACTACAAGAAACGTCTGACCTCTGTGATTGCCAACAAGGGTTTTGCCACCAAGTACTAAGTCATGTTTTGCAGAGGGGTCAAATACTTATTTCCCTCATTAAAATGCAAATCAATTTATAACATTTTTGACATGCGTTTTTCTGGATTATTTTGTTGTTATTCTGTCTCTCACTGTTCAAATAAACCTACCATTAAAGTTATAGACTGATCATGTCTTTGTCAGTGGGAAACGTACAAAATCAGCAGGGGATCAAATACTTTTTTCCCTCACTGTATATACAGAGGATACCGGTACAGAGTCAATGTGTGGAGGCACCGGTTAGTCGAGGTAATTGAGGTAATATGTACATGTGGGTAGAGTTAATGTGACTATGCATAAATAATAAACAGAGTAGCAGCAGTGTAAAATAGGGGGTTGGGGGGGGGGGGGGGGGGGCAATGCAAATAGTCTGGTTATCCATGATTAGCTGTTCAGGAGTCTTATGGCTTGGGGGTAGAAGCTGTTAAGAAGCCTTCTGGACTTAGACTTCACGCTCCGGTACCGTTTGCCATGCCATGCGGTAGCAGAGAGAACAGTCTATGACTAGGGTAGCTGGAGTCTTTGACAATTTTTAGGGCCTTCTTCTGACACCGCCTGGTATAGAGGTCCTGGATGGCAGGAAGGTTGGCCCTAGTGATGTACTGGGCCGTACGCACTACCCTCTCTGAGTGCCTTGCGGTCGTTGGCCGAGCAGTTGCCATACCAGGCGGTGATGCAACCAGTCACGATGCTCTCGATGGTGCAGCTGTATAACTTTTTGAGGATCTGAGGGCCTAGACAGCTGCCCTGGGGAATTCCTGATCCTACCTGGATTATGTTGGAGAGGCTTCCATTAAAGAACGCCCTCTGTGTTCTGTTAGACAGGTAACTCTTTATCTCAATTTGTAGTACGTTTGCCAATCGGTTATGCAGCCAGACTTATTTGCCATTCCTTTTGCCTCATCCCTCTCTACCATACAATTTAACAATTCCTCATCAATCCACGGGGATTCAACAGTTTTTACAGTCATTTTCTTAATGGGTGGAAGCTTATTAGTAACTGGGATAAGCAATTTCATTAATGTGTCAAGTGCAGCATCTGGTTGCTCTTCATTACACACCATGGACCAATAAATATTATTTACATCAACAACATAGGAATCACTTCAAAACTTATTGTATGACCTTATACACTATATTAGGGCCCAGCCTTTGGAACTTTAGTTTTCCTAGATATGGCCAATATATTGTGATCACTACATCCGATGGATTCGGATACTGCTTTAAAGCAAATTTCTGCAGCATTAGTAAAGATGTGATCAATACATGTTGATGATTTCATACCTGTGCTGTTTGTAACTACCCTGGTAGGTAGACGGATAACCTGAACCAGGTTGCAGGCACTAGTCACAGTTTGAAGCTTTCTCTTGAGTGGGCAGCCTGATGAAAGCCAGTCAATATTTAAAATCATCCAGAAAATATACCTCTCTGTTGATATCACATACATTATCAAGAATTTCACACATTATCCAGATACTGACTGTTTGCACTTGCTGGTCTATAGCAGCTTCCCACCAGAAGGGGCTTTAGGTGAGGCAGATGAACCTGTAGCCATATTACTTGAACAGTATTTAACATGAGATCCTCTCTAAGCTTTACAGGAATGTGGTTCTGAATATAAAAACGGCCACACCTCCACCTTTGGCATTTCTGTCTTATAACCATGTATTGCTACCACTGTATCATCAATTTCTTCTTGGGCAGATGGTCAGGGGGCTGGAACATAATGACAAATAATTTGTAGACTGTAAATTGACAGCAAGAAGCCCACACAGATATAATTTTATAACCCTGACCTAAAGCGTCTAAATCTGGTGTGAGCCCGTTATGTGAACTACTGCAACGACCTCGTTATTAACTGATCAGCCCACTTGTAGACAAAGGGCAGATACTGTGTAGTCAGTGTGTGCCTACTCTAAAGTCTGTAGTGTCAGCTGCAGTGGCCTAGCCAAAGCCTGCTCCCTCTTGGCAGTGGGGGCAAAGTGAGGATGTGATGTGGAGAACAGGCAAGGGCTAGGCTGGGAGAAAGCAGTCATTATGTTCACTGCCCATCTGGGTGTGAAGGCAGGCGAGTGTTTTATGGGAGGCAGGCAGGGTTTATCAAGTTGAACAAAGGTGGTATTCAAAGCATGACTTAGCAAACACGCAGCGTCATGCAGGCTAGCCACCCTCTGTCCTCTGCTTTTATGTCCGACTGTGGCATCTCCTCTGATGGTTGACTTTGTGATGCGTCTGGCTGAGCAGAATCGGTCTGTTTTGCAATAGATACGTGAGTGAGATAATCAAAGAGAAAGGCATTGATTGTTCCGCCAATAGGTTGTTCAAAACATGAACTGAATAAGTTATATTTTCAGGGACAGACATTAGGCTGGTTATTGAACTGAATGTTTACATGTGGTGAATTATGGTGAATTATAAGGCAGATGTAAAGGTATGCCATGACATTATGTGGAGTAGAATACAGGTTCTCAGTCTGCACCTCATCCTACTCTGGTCTACACACAACACACACCCACCCACAACACCCACCCACAGTACCCACACACAGTACTCACACACACACAATAGTGCAACAGCGCAATCTGTTGTGGCGGGTGTCTCAGTGGCACCAGACACAAAGAGAACGGGGAGGTAGTGGGTTGGCGGGTTACTGCAGTGGTGGAGTGGGGGATGCTGGGTTCGGGAAGAACAAAAGACACCCCCTCCAGCCACCCATTACTGCTCTAGCAGGCTCCGCTACACGGGGGATGATCCCCCAGCCACCCTTGGAAACAAATCAAATTACATTTTATTGGTCTTGTACACAAATTTTGCAGATGATATCGCAGGTGCAGAGAAATGCTTAAAAATTCCCCAAAGTTATTTTTGGTTGTAGGTAATAATGCAAGAAACGTTCTCAGCAAATAATGTAAGAAATAACACAGAAAAATGTTAAATACTGTAAAGTTGGCTAAGAGCTAGAAACAGGGTGACCATGTCTGTAGGCGCCGTCTTGTCTCGGTCAAAGGGGTCACATACCGTACCACGGTGACAGTAAGGTAATCCCCACAGCATAGCCAGATCAAAACAATAACACACTGGAGACACGTCAACCAGGCCCCGACATGGGGTCTTAGTTTGATGGATGGGGAGCCTGTAGTCTAGTTTCTCATCTTTCCATGGAGAGCTGAGGCAATTGGAGCTAGTAGCTTGCTGCCTTTAGTGAGGAATCTGAAGTCGTACAGGGATGAATTCATTAAGTGGGATATTGAAGGCAGAGATTCTTTATTCTTAGCCCATCTGTCAAACAGCATTAAAAGTGTGTCACAAAGCCTGGTGGTGTTACTAATGGCTTTGTCCCTGCAGCCATCCAGTTACATACACAGCTCTGTGCTGTCTGGGGCTGGTGCTTATTATATGGTTGATTGATTTTCGTAACTCAAACTAATGATATGGACTTGCCACTGCAAATAGGGCCATTGCAGTTCACAGCACAAGATGTCATCATACAAATGTATACAAATTGAAGTGTGTGAGTACAAAGACACAGCACAGAATCAAGAGCCCGACAACAGGCACATGCCCTCCCTTGAGAACAGAAGAAAACAAACCTGTGCACACCTTTGAAACCTTCTATGAGCTTATTCCATGAGTTTGAACTCAGTTTGTTAAAGTTCTCACTCAACAGTCAATACAGGAGAAAGACTGAGCAGCCTACTGTGTCAATAACATACAGAGGACATTGCATACACCTGCAATACCAGCATGCCAATAAGCACATGACACATACAGCATGTTCTGCACCTCACACCAGTAACAGTGTGTGTGTGTGTGTGTGTGTGTGTGTGTGTGTGTGTGTGTGTGTGTGTGTGTGTGTGTGTTTGTGTGCAAATAAGAAGCCAAACGCAGTGAAACATGATAATATAGGGGACTGATTGAGGATGCCTGGGTAGCTCTCTGACAGAGTTGAGTGTAGGCCTGCTGACACCGTTTAGCCTAGATCTCACACAGAGACCAGTAGACCCATGTCCACACCTCAGCCCTGGGATAATCTTCCTCTGTCCTGCCCTGCTAGACTGACATCTATTGACAAAGTGAGAAGAACACTCCCTGTGATGATACCAGTATGATAATATTTTTTCCATGCCAAAAATGAAAACACGAAGCAGACCAAACTCTTTGGTCCTTTAAAAACATGCTATATGTAACATAGTGTGCTATAGTTTGGAAATAAATGTGACTCTAGATGACAACATGATGTTTGTTTCCAACATCAGGGCTGTTTTCCTAAAGAAGTTAAATCCACTTCTTGTGTGGTTTCCTTGCCACAATATTAACGAGTATCGCGATACTGGTATCGTTCTGGCCCTACCCCTCACAGACTCCATTCCCACTGAAAGGACCAAACTGCTCCTCTCCTCTCTTAACCACTCTTCCTGATCCAGAGACTCCCAGCCAGCCCTGCCATGAGCAAATGTTACTGGAGAGCTGCTTGTTTATATTGGAAACTGGAGCTGCCGTTTCAGTCAGGTGAGGAAACAAGGTGGGGGACTTTAACCTCCAAAAACTCATTAATACAATACACAGCAAGAATTCTTCCATCTCTGTGTGTTGCCTTCAACACTGGTGAAAAACTATTTAACTGGGTCTATTTAATCCTTAACAACATGCTTTCTTTTTCTATTTGAGGTGAATTCAGGAAGTAGGCAGGCAGGTAGAATCAGCACTAGGGCTGGGAATTGCCAGGGAACTCACAATAAGATATTATCACGATACTTAGGTGCCGATACGATACGCATTGCGATTCTCACGATTCTATACGTATTGCAATTAAATACTGTGATTTTATTGCGATTCGATGTTCCAAACATATTGCTCACCATATGTCTGCTGCAGAGGGACAAGAGAAGAAATTGGCTCCCTATTTAAAAAGAAGATGGAGAACAAGCTATGAAAGAAAAATACTGGAGTTTTGGTGCAAGTAAATAAACTAGCGCAAAAATAATATATATTTTTTTTATTGTCAAAACTATACCATATATCGTCAAATATAATATCCCGATATGTAACTGTATCATTTCTTTCCCCCCCACCACTAATCAGCACCATGGAAACTGTGTTGACCCCTCCCCTCAGTAACATGCAGAGTTGAGTAAACAGGTTGAATGCTGTAACCACAGAGACAGATCTGATCCATGTCTATGGCTGGAAATGTCACTAGACATCAGACAGGGCATCATCATCATTCAGAACAGAAAGGTACAGCAACTTACTTCAAAAATAAAGAGGATAGAGTCCAGCTCCTCCCTCTGAGATTTGTTCCCTGAAAGAGAGAAGAGACAATTTAAAATTTCACTCCGTGACAAGAGTCACTGACTCAAAGCCACAAGTGGGTCGAACACATTTCAAATGTTGCTTGTTAGGGAGAGGTAGATGCAGAAACGTTGTAATGGTTTAGTTGGGGCAGCAGGTAACCTGGCGGCTAGGAGCGTTGGGCCAATAATCGAAAAGTTGCTGGATCTAATGCCTGAGCCGACAATGTAAAATCTGTCCTTCTGCCCTTGAGCAAGGCAATTAACCCGAATTGTTCCAGGGTCACCGTCAATAATGGCTGATCCCCTGGCGGTGACCCCACTCTACGAGGGTGTCTCAGGGGAAGTGGGAGATGCAAAAAACACATTTCCATTTCACACCTCACACCTGTACAGGTTACCCACTTGTACACACAGTGAAACAGTACCCCCTAATTATTTTATTCATATAGACAGTCAGTTTCATCCATAAAATACATTCCAACATTGGGGTTTGGAAACTGCCACTTCTCCTAAGTCCAGCATCTGCATCTGCTTTTCATTCAGATCACTTTTACATTTTTTACATTTTAGTCATTTAGCAGACGCTCTTATCCAGAGCGACTTACAGTTAGTGAGTGCATAATTATTTATTTTTTTCATACTGGTCCACCGTGGGAAACGAACACACAACCCTGGCATTGCAAACGCCATGCTCTACCAACAGAGCTACACGGGACTTTTGTAAGTCTTAATTGATCACAACACTGGGGATGTGAGTTCTGTCTTACAATGAAGTGAGAAACATTGACTTGGATAAGAACTGAGAACCAGGCTAGTAGGAAATAGACTCCACGGTACTTCATCATTCCAAAACACTGACAGTCGTGTGACTTTCATGAGTGTGTACTGTACACCCTTCTCTGTGTGTGTGTGTGTAGACCTGAGTTCACCTCCTCCTGAGGTCATCATCAAAGTAGAGTATAGCCTACTCTACCTAGGGTTTAAAGCTGTGAGGAGTTGTCATCACTCTCCATGATGTCATCATAACAGTGCTTTAAAGAGTAGTGAGAATGGGGAAAGTGGAGGGGGTTGATTATTGAAGGCCCTATGATGGAGCATGCATTAGACATGGAGGTTGTCAGCCAGGACTCACAGTGAGTGCTGGAAGGGGACTTGGGGAGAGGATTACATTACACAGCCCATGCATTAACAAACAGACAGACAGCAGGGGGGAGAGAAGCCCTGTCCAGAAACAACCCCTGGCTGTGCCCTACCCCCTAAGCACTTGTGTAGATCTGAAAGAATAGGATAGGTAGGCTATAAGCAATATGGTAGTACTGAAGTGTAGCTCCACCTTTCCCTCTGATAGGTAAATACACTCCATATTGCTCTGGGTTTGATAATGGGCAAGATCAAGCTCTTTTTCGTTCTCCTCTCCTCCCCCGCTCTAAATGTGTTTACCTAGAGTACATGTCTCTGTCTCTGACAGAAATCCTGAACTAAATCAATTTATTCACTGAAGGAGGAGTGGTGTGTCAGAGTGGAGTGTGGCTGGTATTGACAAGACTGTTCTGAGAAGGAGAGGGCTCTGGGAAATGTGAGACTACTGTGATGCACTTTCTAGGTTCTCCTATTAGGCCCTGCCCCCAGCAATACTATTTCCACGCTTTCTACTCTGCCACAATCCATTGTGTAGACATAGTCCTATCTTTTATACCAGTGACAGAAGATTTCAAAATATATGAAATTAACGACACTAAACCCTAAAATAATGATATTCCTATTGTTCCCACCGTGGCCTGAGGTGGTGTTAAATTCATTTGATAATGTAGTGCATAATCTCTGGGGTTTTACACCTCATCTTTTTCCCCTCGGAATGGTCCCAAATCAGTGAACATTCTTTGGTTGCACACTTAAATCATTTCACCAGTAGCGGTGCATGGGTAAAATCACTGGGGAAGCTAAAAAAAAAAAACATGTCGACTCACCCAACTTGTAGAGAAACGCCAGCAATGGCATCCTTCTCTTTCATGTTGCCTAAACGGTCTATGACTCTGTCATACAGTAGCCTAGCTTTTTGTTGTCCTGGGCTACCTGGCTAAAATGCTTGCTTGCTAGCCTAACTTCCTTTCATTGCAACGATGCGCCAGGCCTACTACATCTAGCTACATGTTGAACTTCCATCCTATCAGGCCAGGGGCACAATGTATACATTTATGGTTGAATCAGAATTGCCGTTATAATCTTTGGCCAGTACGGAGAATTAAGTAAAACCACAAGTCCAAATCCCTATCTCCATCCATGGCTAATTTAGGAATGGTCCGATTTTAGCTAGCTAGCTAGCCAGCCACCGGAGGACAATAACGCAACGAGATGCAACAATTCAATTTTTTGCTGTCAATGACGTTTGGATTCTGGTGATGTGATTGGTGTGAAGGCAAATCGGCTTCCCTTGCCACTTTTTTTTTTGGTGCGCCAGGACCATTCACAGTTGAGCTCACTCAATTTACGCTATTTTTTTATCAAGGGATGCCAAATGCTCGCTGGCTTCCCTTGCATTCAATGCTATGGGCGGCAACAATGTCACACTCTTTTTAACCAGAGGGCATCAGATAGTTGGGCTACACATACTGAGACAGAGGGGCGCTGTTTCTCCAGTGATATACATTCAGCCTCTTGCGAATTGAAGGAAATGTATGAAACACAGAGACGAAAGATGTTATTTTTTGAACATATTTTTTCCGTAGTAAATTTTTTTGGGAAGACTGGCTTCCCTTAGCATCCATGAATATACACGCCACTGCATTTCACTGCTGCAATGTAATACTAGATCTGATTTTATGTTAATCTAATTGGCTTTGAACAGCTAAGGGAAGTCGTTGGAATGAAAACTACAACCCCTGCAGGATTGAACAAGCTGAAAAAGCCATTACCCAGCTAATTAATTATACACTACTACTGGGGGTGGTTACTGGGGTAGTAGCCATGGGCACCGTTTTAAACAGACTCACAGGCAGCACACTCTTACTTTCTTTCATCTTTTTTAAAAATATATATCTTTACTTTTTGTATATTTTTTTATTTTTTGGGGGGGGGGGGGGGGGTAGATCAGCTTTAATATTGCAAATAGATTGTAACTTCCATCACTTCCAATACCCCATGTTCTTTTCTCTCTCGTATATATATATATATACACACACACAGTGGGGGAAAAAAGTATTTAGTCAGCCACCAATTGTGCAAGTTCTCCCACTTAAAAAGATGAGAGAGGCCTGTAATTTTCATCATAGGTACACGTCAACTATGACAGACAAAATGAGGAGAAAAAAAATTCCAGAAAATCACATTGTAGGATTTTTAATGAATTTATTTGCAAATTATGGTGGACAATAAGTATTTGGTCACCTACAAACAAGCAAGATTTCTGGCTCTCACAGACCTGTAACTTCTTCTTTAAGAGGCTCCTCTGTCCTCCACTCGTTACCCGTATTAATGGCACCCGTTTGAACTTGTTATCAGTATAAAAGACACCTGTCCACAACCTCAAACAGTCACACTCCAAACTCCACTATGGCCAAGACCAAAGAGCTGTCAAAGGACACCAGAAAATTGTAGACCTGCACCAGGCTGGGAAGACTGAATCTGCAATAGGTAAGCAGCTTGGTTTGAAGAAATCAACTGTGGGAGCAATTATTAGGAAATGGAAGACATACAAGACCACTGATAATCTCCCTCGATCTGGGGCTCCATGCAAGATCTCACCCCGTGGGGTCAAAATGATCACAAGAACGGTGAGCAAAAATCCCAGAACCACACGGGAGGACCTAGTGAATGACCTGCAGAGAGCTGGGACCAAAGTAACAAAGCCTACCATCAGTAACACACTACGCCGCCAGAGACTCAAATCCTGCAGTGCCAGACATGTCCCCTTGCTTAAGCCAGTACATGTCCAGGCCCGTCTGAAGTTTGCTAGAGTGCATTTGGATGATCCAGAAGAGGATTGGGAGAATGTCATATGGTCAGATGAAACCAAAATAGAACTTTTTGGTAAAAACTCAACTCGTCGTGTTTGGAGGACAAAGAATGCTGAGTTGCATCCAAAGAACACCATACCTACTGTGAAGCATGGGGGTGGAAACATCATGCTTTGGGGCTGTTTTTCTGCAAAGGGACCAGGACGACTGATCCGTGTAAAGGAAAGAATGAATGGGGCCATGTATCGTGAGATTTTGAGTGAAAACCTCCTTCCATCAGCAAGGGCATTGAAGATGAAACGTGGCTGGGTCTTTCAGCATGACAATGATCCCAAACACACCGCCCGGGACCACCCATACGTAAAAATGTATGCACACATGACTGTAAGTCGCTTTGGATAAAAGCGTCTGCTAAATGGCATATTATATTTTATTATTATCTCTTAACACCATCCATATTGGATTTTTCTATTTGCCATACATTTTTAAACTGTACTGTGATGTTTCACAAAAGTTCTGAACCCTTCTATTCTCATTGTTTCTACAGATTGTAAATTGAAAATGAAAATTTTTGCTAAAAGTATTGATATATTATTGATCAATTGACTATGACTTTTCAGATCACCCAGTAGTGCTATCTGCAGGGTTAGCTCCAGGTAAATATTGCAATCCTTCAGCCATTCCTGGACCTGTGACCAAAAACAAGCTACAAATGGACAGTACCAAAACAAATGATCTAATGATTCAGTCTCTTCACAGCAAAATCTGCAGAGCTGGGAAGATTGTATCCCCCATTTAAATAATGTTCTAATGGTAGCAAGAATTTTGTATAATAATTTTAATAGAAAAATTCTTACGTTTTGAATCCGGCGTCGTTTTGCGTATAAGTTCATAAACACTATGCCATGGAATCGGTACGTCAAAAATCTCTTCCCAACTATTTTGCAATCTATATGGGACAGCTGTCAATTCTTTGGTCCTTAAATTAAACTGGAATACTTTTTTATTTATCACAATTTTCTTTAACCAAAGGATCATAAGCACACTCTACAT